ACGGCGCGGAACACAACTACCATATCCATGACAAGGAACTCCTGGCGGTGATCCGCGCGCTGCAGTGCTGGCGAGCCGAGCTTGTTGGCCTCCAAGGGGACGACCCGTTCCTGATCATCACGGACCACGAAGCGTTGAAGTATTTTGGCACGAAGCGCCTGCTCAACGCTAGACAAGCCGGATGGGCTGAGCTGCTCGCGCAGTACCATTTCCAAATCACGTACCGGCCGGGCAAAGAGAATGCTGCGGCAGACGCTCTCTCCCGCAAGAGCGAGGATACAGTGACGCAGAAGGCGAAGAGGGAAGCCTATCGCACCTTGCAAATCTTCACCCCCGTGCTGGAGGATGGCGCAGCAACCCGCACTGATGATCTTGAAGTTGAGTTGATGGCGCTTGACGAGGAGATAGAGGCGCCCGCAGACTCGGGTTTCGAGCTCATCGACGAGCTCCTCCGTTACAACCAATCTGCCCTGGAGTTGGAGCCATACCGTGAGAAGGCCCGCAGCGAGCAGGATTCCGAATACTCGCTCCTGGATGGCCGCTTGCTGTTGATGAGCGGTAGATTGGTGGTCCCAGCCGTCAACCATCTGCGGACCCGCATCATTACTGAGGCACACTCGCGCTTGACGACCGCCCACCCGGGCATAAACAAGACGCGCAAGTTGATCAACACCCGGTACTGGTGGCCCCGAATGGGCAGCGATATCGATCAGTATATCGCTAACTGTGTGTGCCGCGCCGCGAAGCACCCGAGAGACAAGACCCCCGGATTGCTACACCCAATCCCCCCCTCGCAGCGAGCATGGCAGAGCGTTGTGATGGATTTCAACGAACTTCCGAAAGACAAGTACGGATTTGACAACGCTCTGGTCATGATTGACCGCCTCACGAAAGCTTCATGGACTATTCCCTGCACGAAGGGAGCCACGGCTCGCGATGCGGCGAAGATGTACTATGAAGGCCCGTATCGAGTCTACGGTCTCCCGATGGAGGTCATCATTGACCAGGGGCCGCAGTTTCGAGCCGACTTTACCAACGAACTGTCAAAGATTCTGGGGATCAATTGGAAACTGGCCACACCCGGTCATTCGCAGACCGCGGGCCAAGTCGAGAACCTTAACCAGTATATTAACCAACGGTTACGACCGTTTGTAAGCCATTACCAAGACAACTGGTCCCGGGCAATCCCAGCTCTTGACGCGGTACAGTCGAGCCTCCCGCACGACAGCACCGGATTGTCGCCCCACGAAGTGATGTTTGGGTTCGCGATGCCCTTACCATTCGACTGGGAATCACGAACCGGACTGACAGATCTGCCGCACGAAGAGCGTCTCAATCGCGAAGAGGCCCAGCGGAGGGCGCGCCAGATCCAGGAATTTGGGGACTTCGCGCGGTCCAACATCCTTAAAGCGCAGGAGAAGCAAGCAGAGCAGGCGAATCGACATCGCCGCGTACCAGATTTCGACGTCGACGACCACGTCGTGATCATCAAGCGCACCGAAATGACGAGCAGACCCAGCGATAAGCTCGATTTCCCCGTTACGCGGCAGCACTTCCGCATCATCGAGAAGGTTGGCCACGCGTACCGTTTGGAAGTCCCAGCTTCGTGGAAGGGAACCGACACGTTCCCTCCCGACCGACTACGATTACACCTAAACAACCCTCTTCCTGGCCAAGCACCCGAGTCCCCGGATGCCGAAGAGGTTGGTCCGAATCAAGACATGGAATGGGAGGTCGAACAACTCTTGGCGAGCCGTGTTTACTATGGAAAATTGCAGTACCAAGTCCGTTGGAAGGGCTGGGCAGCCGACCCCGAATGGTATCCCGCGGCCGACTTCAAGAACTCGCCGGAAGCGTTGAAACAGTTCCATGACGCGAACCCCGACAAGTCTGGCCCGCCCACACGATTGCAAATATGGTTGGAAATGGCCGAACGCGACGAGTTCGCGGCGGATCATGAGGATGACAACGAACCAGTCATGGTGGGCGCGCCGTTGAGGCGATCCAACAGGAAGAAAAAGTGATGGACCTTTTCCGAGCAAAAGCTCGCGGACGAGCTTTTTCGTGGAGGGGGGGGGTTGTCACGAGAGGTGGTTGCCTGTGATGGCACTGTGGCTCAATCGGGGTTAGCGCGCATAGCGCCTCGCCCTACTTCCCCACGAAACGATCGCTAGCGATCCCACCACCTCTCTTTTTCTCTTTGTCTCAGTTTCGATATTATAGTTGTATTGACTGGTGGCCTGACCCCATGGAATATCTGCTTCTCGTCACAGGTTTAAAGTTAATATTATTCTTATATAACTATACCTTAATAGTATTTATCTCGAGTTTACTATTATATTTAATCCTTTTAACTCTAATACTATATTACTATTTAAATATACCTATATAACTATAGATAGTAGTAAGGTTCTATTCTCCTATCTTATCTAATATATAGTAGTTCTATATATAATAAGAGACTCTATTACTAATAAATATAATTTGCTTATACCTATCTTTATTATTGTTAAAATTATAGAAGTTAATAGCTAGTCTTTCTCCTAGGCTATATTAGCTTAAGTTATATAGTTTATAACTTAGCTTTTACTTTATCTTCCTAGCGGTATAGTCTATATAGTCTACTATCTTAATGTTATAGATCCCTCCTACAATCTTAGCTCCGAGAACATTTATTAATAGATACTTTATCAGTTTATATCCTAGATATATTAATTAGAGATATTATCGGTCCTCTATTACCCTCTTCGGATCTAATAGCCCCTATAATTTATAGGGGTTGTTATTATAAACTGAGAATATAGCTCTCTAATCTCTAACCAGGATATATTTAAGAATAAATTGTTTAAAGATATCTTTAATAATATAAAGAGGTAAGCTATCCCTATTTTATAGCTCTATAGTAGTAGGTTGGTTATCCTAGAAGATACCTCTCTCCTATAGAGGTTATAAAGAGACTAAGTTAGTTATAATCTCTAGAATATATACTACCTTATCTAAATATAATTTTTATATCCTACTATTCTTTATTTTAATAGTAATATTAACCTCTCTATATCCTTAAATCGAGATATATTTATCACCTATCTATAACCTTACTCCCTTTTAAGGAAGGTATATAGTAAGGAATCTATTAGGGCTATTAAAGATATAGAGGGTTACTTCTAAGTTAAGGATAGCTAAATCTTTAAGAGAGTAGATAGTATTCGATATCCTAGCAGCGATATTAAATATAGCTAAGATCCTTCCTTTATAGTAGTTAGATAGTTAATTTTCCTAGAAACTAACCTTTAAAGTCTTCTTTTCTTCTACCCTATTAGTTAGGAAGTTAATAATATATACCCTTTTCTTTCTAAGCTTCTCAACTATTTCTCGAACTTCGTTATTTTCTTTAAGATATTACTCTACTTACTTCTAGTAGTATAGAGCTAGATTACTCTATTCGGACCGGCTTCCTTTATTAGTATACTAATAATTATCTAGACTATACTATTAGTTATAGAGGGGGTATTCTAACTTAGATCCTCCTATATATCTTTATTTATTCGATATATACTAGTTTAGGCTTTAGTTATTCTATAGGTATAGTATTAAGTTACTCTAGTTATTACTATAGCTAGAGAATAGACTTCTAGATTATCTCTAGATTTATTTATATTCCTATTTATATAGCTGTTAATACTATTATTCTTCTTTATCTCTAAAAGATTAAGCTTCTCTACTAGAGTTTATAGTATAGATTGTAAATATATCTTTAAGAATAGACTTTAAATTCCTCCTACTCTTTTATTCCTTTACTAACTTCTTTCTAAAATAGTTAATAATAGTATAGAATATAAAGATACTATTATTAATATCCTCCTAATATTAGATCTAATAAACTTTAATCTATATTTTATATCTCTATCTAGTTAGTATAGTAGAGAGTTAATTCTACTATAATATAAGTTAGAGTAATATACCTACCTTCTAATATTTAGTTACTATAAGATCTTACTTTATTAGCTAGTTAGTTATATTCTTTAACTTATATTAGTTAATATTAATAATATTATTATATACCCTTTTAATATTAATAATATCTTATTATTTACTTATATTAATCCTCTCTAAAAGGTTTATATATTAGATATAAATTCCTCTTCTAGATTTATAGTATAAACTTTATAGAGAATTAGAAACTATCTTATTAATCTACTCCTTAATATTAATAATATAATCTATCTCCTCTTTATAGTTAATATATAGTTAGTAATAGTTACCTATCTCTACTTAATAGGCAGATCTAGCAAGGATCATTATCTCTCTAATGTTAGTAGGTATAACTCTAATATCGATCTCTTTAAAGAGGGAGGTCTAAGTTAGGATCAGGGTTTATAGTAGCTGGTCTCCTACTAGGGTAGAGGATTCACCTTACTAGCTCTAAGTTAGTAGGCTAGTTAGTTCCTCTATTCTAATAGATAGTATCTTTATAACTTTTTTATTATAATTACTAAGGTTTAATAGAAATAGTTCCTTAAGGAAGGTTCCTTTCTAGTTACTTTCTAGGTTAATCTTATACTAGATATAGTATTACTTAGCTTATTTAATAAACTATTTATTCTATTTCTTCTAGTTAGTTATTAAAGTAAAGAGTAGTATAGTTATAGCTATCTTTATAGTTAATATAAGGGTTATTTATCTTTTAGCTTTTTATAGTTTGTTTCTAGCTATTGTAAATTCGTTTTCGATATCTCCCGGAAGCTCGATACTAACCAGGCTCATAACTGTTAGAAATCCAATAGCTAGAATAACAATACTTCTAAATAGGGGTCTAAATATAGTATAATAAAGGTCACTATATAGAGGGTATCCGAATCAACCGTAATCGTATTGTCTGAAGAACTTGTATATATCTAGAACAAACGGAGGGCCTCCTACACCCCCTGAAAACTCTATACCCGGGCATCAATTGTAGGCCCGGTGACCCCTATGTCGTTGACCCGCCGTACCGTAACCTCCAGCCACTATCCACCACGCGTTTTGTACAACAGGTCCCCGGTTCCCCAATAAATTGAACTTTTTAACCTTCCCTGTTGGAGGGCAGATAACACCTGATATGTCTTGTGGATTTAACTTACTCCACTTCCGTGGATCACTAACCATTTCAACAACCGCTCTATGATCAGTCCATTGCCCCAGAATGTCCTCTTTTAGCGACCTCGAGAAGTCTATCTCTGATTTCTTTTCGAAAGCAGGAGCGGGTACCTCCAGGGGTCAATGTGACGCATTTGCCAACCGAACATTTGGAGGGCCAGTTGCTCCGGTTTCGGTCCAGGGCAGTTGTAGCTACACCGTCACGAATGGTACAACCATCATCCAGTTCCGGGAACCAGAATCGCCGCTGGATATACAAATTCTGCCGGCTGTTCAAGCTGTTCACCCCGGCATTGTTGCCAACCACTCTTTCCATGGGACCATTGGCGAATCCCCGGCGCTCCACGTTTACTCGATGGACGTACTCCCCGGAGACAATTATTTTGATATATCCCTCTCTCTCATGGACCATGACTTGGATCACCGATTGGCCACTGTCCATGGTCTAGCAAGGTTTGGGGATCCTCGTCTATTTTCCTTGATCAGAACCCGACGAGAGAACGAGCACTGAAGCGATACAGGTTTTTTACACAGTCGTGGCAGAATGGTACGGGTAGCCGTCCAAATCCGAAGTCCATCGCCGCAGCCTTTGAAGTCTGCTGCTCTAGCTTCGACTACCTCCGCCGCAACCTCCCCTCCCGTTTCCAGAACACCATCACCCAGGTTAGGGACAGCCTCCCGGCCCTTTTCTCTAGAGAGTACCCATGGGTCCCAACGCACGGCGACTTGAGCGAGAGAAATATCCTCGCCAACCCCGCGACTGGCGAGATTACGGGAATTATCGACTGGGCTGAAGCCGGCATCCTGCCCTTTGGTTTTGCGCTCTACGCGCTTGACAGTCTGCTGGGTTACCTGTCGCAAAAACGACGTCGCAATTGCGGGACAGCAATTGCACCTTGTATTGTTACACACCCCCCAGATCGAGACAACAGACGAGATATGAACGCAATCAACATCTCCTGCTCCTGTTTTACCCCTCATATAGAGATTTCTTTATCATGGACACTCCCTAAAATGTCCCAGGAGGGTCGGAGTCTGGCTCGAACATGGGACCTCTTGGCAACTACTGCCTCTTGGAAGCACAGCAGAATTTACGATCAACAGACCGTTGCGTCACGAGGGCTCATAACTGTCGCAAAAACGACGTCGCAATTGCGGGACAGCAATTGCACCTTGTATTGTTACATTACCTAACCCCGAGTGGGTGGGTGTTTTATCACGCCGCTGACTACCTGCGGGATGAGTTCTGGAGGGTCTTCCGTGAGGTGGTCGGGGGGGTGTCCCAATCCGAGATGGAGCTTATTCAACTTGCGAGACAGGTTGGACTGTTCCTCCGCTACGGCATCCCATACAAGCCCGGACGCAAGGGAGTGGTTGGAGTTGGGGGTGCGAATAATACCTCCCTCAAGATACTCGACGGCCTCATCCCGGCCGAAGAGAAGCCTGCCCCAACACCTAGCGCTCATGATGTGACGGTCTAGTTTTCTTGTCAACCAGCCCGGCGCCGAAGGCCATGGAGATAGAACGCTGCGATGGATTTACGGTTGGGCGTGGGGATGCATGTAATATCGAGTTACAACGATGACGGACGCAACAAGTGGGAGGACAAGGGGGTGGAAACTTGGGAATCAAGAATGCTGTGGATGATTGTCACATGATCGTCGAGTCCTGTGGCTTTTGCGACTCTTTCCCCTGACTAAACCCAAAACGGGAATATGCCCTGGCTGAAGAGGATGAGCTCATTGGGAAACAAACGTCATTGACGCGTTTCCCAATTTCCCAGACACGGTGGGCCTTTGTTTTTATACAGACATCCGTACACGGTCCTCGACGACCTCCTGGCATCACCAAGTTCCACCTTCAAACTCACTGCCAAAATGCAGCCCAAACGGTCCGCAGCGGACGGCCCCAGTCGACGATCCAAGAGGTCGCGTCCGTCCACCGAGGGCACCGAGGGCACCAATGCCACCAGCGAGGCACCAACTTGGTCAATTCCTCGAGACGAGCGCTGGTCCCCTGATATCTCGGGCTCTGCAAATGTCGACATGGAATACAAGATAGCCACCCAGGATCTGGAGAAAGCTTACCGATTTGTGTGCATCTGCCGGACCCCGTTTTACAACGGCGAAAGGGAGGAAGAGGAGGAAGACGAGGAAGAGGACGAGCAGGGCGAGAGCTCTAAGGCCCCCGAAAAGGCCGAGGAACCGGGCAAGTGTGACGGCGGGGACACTTGTTTATGCAACAAGCCCGCGTCGGAGCATCCCGGCCATATCTGGAAACTGTCGTACGCCGGCTTGCGCAAGTTCCACACGCAGGAGGTCCACTGCCAGCTAAGGTGCCCCGACTACTTTGAAATGTACACGTTCAACAGGCACGGGGCCTATGGCGTGCTGGAGGTCCTGCAGAACCTCATCCTGGACTTTGAGGAGGCCTCGGACAACTACCAGGAACAGTGGGCTGTCTGTGAGGGTTTGGCTTTCTTCCTCATGACCAACACCGCATGGGAAGTGACGGGGTAGGTTTTCTTGATCGAGGTTACCATCATTTTGTTGACTTGAGAACTGGCGCAGGGTCGATGGAAACACCGTCACCGAAACATACCTGATCATTGGTCGTCTCTTTTTGAGCATGCTTGCCACGCTGGAGCGGTTTGGTTGTCTCAAAGAGGACTCCGAGTTTGAGAATCTCGGTCTGGTCATGGCGCTGTTCATGGCATTTGCGCGGTACGCAAAGCAATGCAGCGAGCTGAGAGACAGTAACCGGCAGTCGTTGGGCCCCGGAAAGGACAAGCGGAAGTGGTATCCGCACAACTTCCAGGATCAAATTCTCGCGTACGCCTCCAAGTACCATATCACTCTCGTCGGGCCGCACAATATCGACGACATCATCAAGAAAGCCCGTGCGGGTGCCGATCTGCCCGTCCCACCGACACCCGAGATGGGCAGAGTAGATCCTTTTGCTCTCGCCAAGAACCTGAAGAGATACAAGGAGGAACAAGGCGGTCTCACGGCCTGGATGGCCCTCCACAGTAACAGCGACACGCCTATTGGGGGGGACAATCTCGACATCACCACCTGGAGCAGCGAAAGGCGCAAGGAGAAGAGCTTTGAGGAGAAGGACCCGCTGACCGAGGAGCATATTGAGGCCCTCAAGAAGGGTATGGTGATTGCGCTTGGCTAGGCATTGGGTCAGAGGTATGAGATGGGTGTAGTTGTAACCTTTGGAAAATAGCTTCGAGGATTCAAGTGTAATAGTAATTGCGATGGTTTTCTTCGTGACAACGTCCCGGGTTGTTTGGTCACAAGACGGACGGAGAGTATTACGTCTCAAGAAACCGGTCACGATGAGGTTCTAAGCAAACAACGTATTACTGCTATGCCGGTATAATCCTGTTGTAAATGCAAAACGCGCCTCTCTATGCTCAACCATTTCCCCACCCCCCATCCTCTCAACCACCCCATGCTATCTCCCCCTTAACCACCCCCCCCCCCAACCCTCACCACGAACCTCTCAACCACCCCTCAAAACCCTGCCAACGGATTCGGGTTCTCCCCCCTCCACCCACCCTGCACCGCGCCCTGAGAAGCACTCACCCCCACAAACCCCTTCGCCGCATCCCTAAACCGCCCCAACGTCTTCCCCCCCTCGGCACCACCAAACCCCTGATTCACCACCCCCACCATCCCCCCCATACAATGCCTCCCCTGCGCACAATAAAACCACACCGGCCTCTCCTCATCCCCCACCACGAACTGAAACACCTCGCCCGACTGCACGGCCGCGCCATCAGCGCTCGCAGCAACCGGAAAAAACCCCGAGTCGAAGGATGTGTCGTTCTTGGGCACGCAGGGCGCGTCGAAGGCGGCCTCGACGACGCTGTGGTTGGCGGGCAGGAAGTGGAACTCGATGACGGAACCGGCGGCGGCGACGATGTTGTCCGGGTCGAAGCGCAGGCCGCCGCCGCCGCGGCCGGCGATGACGGTGTGGGTGGTGACGGGGGAGGGGTGGGTGAGGTTGGGGGTTGGGTTGGTGGTGGTTGTTGTGGGTGCGGCGGTGGTGGAGAAGGGGAGGGTTGCTACTGTGGCGAGGAGGAGAAGGTGGTTGAGATTGAGCATGGTGGGAGGGTTTGTGGTGTGGTTTGGTTGGGTTGGTTCAAAGTTGGCTTGAGTTGGTTGATGCCGGAAGGAAATGCTCAAAGGCGACTTTTGATGACAGTATGCTTCAATCCAAAATATTTTGAGGATGTGTGTATGATGTGAGTCGAGGACGATGAAGCTGGTGATGTGAGGATGGGAATGAAACAGATTGGGAATACATCGTGTTAAATACAGTTTCATACTACCTACTAAACTAAACAATTGACGCTCGTAACCACAGTCCGCAATTAGCTCACAACTCACGATCTCACGATGCGCAGTCGCGCTTAAGTCCCGGACGTGATGACTTCCGGAAGCTCAGCCACAAGGCGCGGCCGGGTTGCACACTCCCGTCATCCGCCGGACAAAACCATGGCCATGGGGCGCGTACCTTTTTCTTTGGCTTTGCACTCGCCGTTCGAATGGAATGGCAGCGGCTGACGGATCGGGAAGTCGCGCATCCGGTAAACCCAAAAACCCCATTTAGCACTGGCACCGTGCTTCCCAGCTACCGGGTACCGAAGCTTCCTTCTTCCGCAGCGGATGCACCAACCATGTCCATGCAGCTGTGGTTTGCGGCCCAATTGCTGTAATCGGAAAGAGCTCCTTCCACATGCAAAACAACCGAAGTCGAACCTGAGGCCATCATGATATTATTTATTGGAGGCCTCTTGGATTGACCTGGCCCACTTTCTCAGCATTGGAACCACTGTTTGTCCATTCATGAATACAATAATCTATATTATAGAAGACTCCCGAACTTGTTCGTCTGGAAGATCGTGTATGAAATCCTGCTGGTTCCCCTCGATTGTTCTGCCCAGACGTCTCGGAGCACAAAATTGACCACATCATTCAAGTAGTTCATTCTCCGTGAATTTCCTCCTTCCTCCTGGAGTCCTGCCCGCAGCTCAACCCTCTTGGCACCCATTCCCGCCCGTAGGATTGCTACAAGGTGGCATTCAGGTTCTTGGGTGGCCGAGACGTGGTGAATGCCACGGCCCCCATCCCTTGGCATGGCGGATTTGTCGCCTGACAGACGATGGTCGCTCTCTGGGGACCATCAATGTTTATTTCTTTGGTGTGCCCGTCCCCCGTCCACCTCGGCATGTTTACCTTTTTATTCGAATCGGATTCACATTAACATCATCACCACGCTGAAAAGCCATGGCCTCGGTAACGACGATATTTCGCCCAGATCCGACGTGCTTTGCGCCGTCAAATCTGTGGCTCAATCAAAAACCGCGCTGGGGATGCGACACGTACTACCCGCCATTTGGGCCCCGGCCGACTGAGATTCTCCCGTCACTCGCCTGTGATTTTCCCGTGCTAGGTCGTCCGCAGTTTTATGGCTTCGAGGACCTGTGCTACCAGAGTAATGATATCACCACTGGAGCCACCATCTACCATAGCACCGCATACAGCGCCTGCCCGAAGGGCATGACCGGTGCCGAAACCCGGACGGGAGTGGCAAATGGTATCACCATCGCCGCAACAGTCTGCTGTCCTACGTGAGGAACTCCAGTCTATACCAATGGTCGGCCCCGCAGTGTTAACTAACTGAGGTGACCTACCTTTGTATTGTTCAAGCGCCTATGACTTTACCCTAGTCAGCGACCGGACTCTTATTCCTACAGTTATCGACGGCACGACGTACCCGTTGACGTTCGCCACCGAGACGGAGCTTTGCAAGGCCGGCTCTATCAAGGCCCTCTCAGATCAGACGGTGACGATGACCGTGTTTGCTGGCGAGACAACTGGCACCACAACCGAAACAGTATGGGACTACGAGAACGGCTTCATCGTCGCGACGGCAGCCATTATCAATAAGCGTCTCTACACGGACCCCGTAGCCAGCACCACCTCAACATGCTATGGGGATTTGGACGCGCGTTGTGCACTGCGCAGCAACCCTCTCGTGCCTGGCCCAACCCCCGCCCCGTCCGACCGGTACGACCCACCCCCCACATCCCCCGTCACCCAATTCACGCCTGCCCCCTCCTGCCTCTCACAACCTGGCAACCTCTGGCTCGTCTCCGACCAGTGTTCCGTGGTGACCACCAGGCCGGAGAACCAACCGCACCCGCCCTGGCTGCAGTGCACGCACATCCTCGCCGGCGAGCCCAACCCCTCTCAAACGGCGTGCTACCCGGCCGGGCCCGCCGCCGCCGGCCCCAGCGGCGACTCCACCTTCTACACAGGCTGCCCCGTCGGCTACACACAGGCGGGGCTGGCGACGTCCAAGCCGTTCGACGCGCGCTTCGGGAAGCCGCGGGCCAACTACGCGGCCGAGGCCTCCACGCTCGGCTGCTGCCCCTCGCTGGAGGGCATCTCGTTCGCGTACCCGTCGCGGACGCCCGGGGCGGGGTGGCCCGAGCCGACGACGACGCACGACGGCGTCGCGTACAGCGTGCAGAGGGGCCCGCCGCCGCGCTGCGTCGCGACGGGGGTGGGTGTGCAGGACGCCCTGGCGGGCCCGGCGGGGCGCCCCGTGACGCTGGGCTTGTATGCGGATGACGGCGGCCGGTATGAGGGCACCACCGAGGTGGACTGGGATGCGGCGAGCCACACGTTGTATGCGCACGCCGTTGAGGTTCGCTACACGGTGTTTCATGGCACGTATACCTGCTTTCGGAACTGTGGTGCGTATTTTACGCACTCGTATAATAATACCCAGCGAGCCGCGTCGTCCACGGGCGCGGCGGCGGTTGTCGCGAGAGGTGATGTCCAGGCGGGGCTGTCGGTCGTGGTGGTTGTTGTGACGGTTGTTCATGTCGTTATGGGAGCGCTGGTATGATCCACCTGCTCAGGGCATTCATGGTTAACGTGGGGGGGGGGGATGGTAGGATTAGAAGGCCACGGTGATTTTGAAGGAGAGTAGAGTGATGTACATGAATATTCCATGATACCTTGTCGATAGTAGCTTTTACACGTAATCACTGTCCAAACCCCTTTTTGAAATGAAAGAGAACAAAATCTCGCCATAAAAATGAATGGGTGACTCTCAGAGATATCAAGGCTATAAACAGCGCTTAGTGGCCATACGACAATGCGAAGGCAGTGTGAAGGCCCTTGCGGGTGTAATTACTTGCTACCTATCTTCCAAATGGCTTCGCCAAAACGCCCCATATAGGGGGTCATATGAAGTACCTAGGTAACTACCTGCGCCTGTCATGGCCCCAGTATCCGTTCAATTCCTCCTTTACCAGTCTCCGTGGGCGTTGATATGGAGGACAGTGTCGTTGCGATCATCGTCAGCCCCATCCTCCGTCTTGACCTCCCACTCGTGGTCAGAGTTTGGATCAATGTCGTCCGTCTCTCTAGGCCCACGAATCCACACCTCGGAATTGTGCCACTTAGTCTCCCCCGGCCTCGAAAATGTGCATGTCACCTTCAGTTCCCGATACGCCTCGACGGGGTGCGCAATGGTAGGGAGAGTGAACTTGCCCCCTGTGATATGCACACCCCTGGACCCTGGCTCCCCATTGTCGAATGTCATGGGCTTATCCTCGCCGTCCCCCGTCATGACGTAGTTCTCAACTTTAAGCACGTCCGCCACGTCGACTTTTTGGCGGTAGAGCGCGTTCGTGTGGGCCTTGATTTCAACTCTGTGGCCGGCGGGAACCTTGATGGTGAATGGGCCACGGCCCACCTTGATGAAATTGTCGGACATGGGAATAAGATGTGAAGGTGCTGGTCGCGTGGCACCGTGAATGAGTGGGCTTGCAAGAAATGGAAACTGGGTCGCCCGTGGAGAAATGTTGCGAGCAACACACCTGACCTTTGGAACCTGTAGTCTTGGGGTTATCTCGCTGAACCGAATCAAGTAGGGCCGGTCAATAAATAAGGTCGAGAGGCAAGTAGGTAAGACACTTGGAGCAAAGGAACTTGGTTGTGCTGAACCACACTTGCAAGTGTGAGCATGCTGCATGACCGACTTTGCCGATGTTTGCTCATCTCACGAAGTACAAGTACTTCTAAACTCTCTCAAAGTACTGCGGTATCTCACATGGCTCGCATAATGCCAACCAGTCGAACAAGCTAAGCGGCTGTCCACGGATGGACAACACGCCGTCTGACAGTTTGATTCAGGCAAATCAGACTTCGGCGCCGCGGTGAGATCCTCTGACGTTTGATCTAAATTTTATTTTCCTTAGCCGATGTAAGCGACGAGAATGATCCCGCGTGGAGCTTTGGGACTGTCCAGAGATGACTAGAGACGTGAGGCGCAATGAGGTTCTTCCCATCTTAGAGTCTCCCAATCACCGACGCTCATGGTCATCAAAGGAGCTAGAAGGTTCCGCATTCTGCTCAATCTTATCCCCTTTCGTCCCGAATAGAAGAAGAGTTGGAGGGCTCACGTCGCGCTGCAGAGAGCGGGCACCAATCATCTACCTGAGTTATCTCTCGGTGACTGTCATCGGCACAACCAAAGAGACGCCCGGTAGGCTTGGTTGGGCATCTAGATGTTGGCCATTCTATATTGCTGTTTTATTCCCATTGCTATCGACATCTAAGTGGTGGGTTACGGTATCCATCAAGGGATAGGAGTCATCGGACCCTCTCACTTGGGCAGCAACCGCGGATGTGTTTGCAGGCTGGGTAGCCAAGCTCGACGGCACCGATGATGGTCTGGCGCATGCGGCAAGCAAGCCGTCACGTTCTGTTTTAAAGCGCGTAGAGCGGCATTAACGCGCCAATGTCTGTCACCAAGTGAAAGACGGGGCCGTTCAGAACTTGTCGCCAACTCTTCCCTGCCGATGTTGCCGCGACGTAATCTAAATCACATAGTGGAGCGATCAGCGAACAAGTTATGGCGTGTCACTTGTGTAAACCTTGCTCATGTGCTGGCGTTGGGTCATGAAGTCCGCCAGACAAGGCAGAAATACTGCCCGACGGGATGACTGTAGAAGTACTTGGAGTACAACCTCTCCTAGCCTTGCTGCTAGCGCAACAAGAATGGATGGGGTGACTTAGCAAACCATGGCCAATTCTCCCGGTTTGCCTGCCGCGGAGGCAAATATGGTGAGGTAGGTAGCATTCGTTGGAAATGGACTGGGACCTCAACTCCTTCTGGAGGACTTCCTTTTCTTCGAAAGCAGCCCGAGCTGTTTGATCCTCCCCTTCCCCTTTCCTCTCCCATCAGCTCAGATTCTCCCTCCTCCTCCTTTGCCTCCTAATGCTAAGCTCCTGCTACTGGTCCAATACCAATTCACACTTCAGCAACCCCCCAGGCAAAACAAGAAATTATGAAACTCATCCAGATCCGCCTCCCACGCACGAAGGGGGAGGGTGTCCTTCACCTCACCACCGACGAGCACTGTTACGCCCAGGTGGCCAGAGATGTTTTCAAGGGTGATTCAGACGCAGCTAATATCTTTAACAACGCCAACGAGGCCTGCGACCGCGCCATGGAAGCCGTCCAGCACGTTAATGCCTGTATTAGCCATCTCGGGAAGCATCCTGGCGACTTCGCAGGAGCCGCAAGCTTCGCAGCCCGGGCAAACGATTCGACAAAAATCGCGGAAGATTGTGCAGAAGCCGTGTCAGACAAAGTCCAAGCTGTAAGAGCCAGGGTCGACAGCGACTCTAGGATCGATGCCAGTTCTGTCGAAAAGCTGTTCGCCATGACCGTGGATGCTGCCAAGGAGGCCAGAGATGCTGCGGCCAAGGCGCTCAGCGCGGTGAGGATCGGAGACTCGGCCAGCAACCAACCGACGGCGGAGTCGTTGCATCTCGCACATGGAATTTGCCGCCGGGAGGAAGAGTTGATCAACAAAGCCAAGGCCACCATTGCCGTTGAGGAGCGGTTGAAGGACGAGTACGACCAAAACAACAAGAAGATGGTCTTGGTCATCGGGGGTGGCGTAAGCGGTCTCATGACGGCGTGGATCTTGTTGGACAAGGGATACCGCGTCACAATTGTCGCCGAGGAATGGCGCCAGCGAGGCGACAAAAGCCCCGACAAGAAGGCCGACCGAATGACGTCCCAGATTGCCGGCGCCCTATGGGAGTATCCTCCAGGAGGATGTGGCCTATCCGAGATCGAGGTCCCAGTGCTCGCCTATTCGACCCTGGCGCAGTATCGGACCTGGGCGTTGCAGAGCTTCCTGTTCTACAAACTCCTGGCAGAGAACGACAGCCTGGTGGCAGAGAAGAACCGGTTCGGAGCGCGGATGATCACCTTATACCAGTTCTTCCAAAAACTACCCGCTCCGCCGCCGTCGGGTGTCCCCAATACCAACGACACCGGCAGCACCGCAGATGTGGTGACCAGAAGGGCGGAGGAGAGCGCGCGGGGCCATCACGACAAATGGAAGGAGATCGAGGAGCTCGACACGAATTACGGTGATTTCTATGGCAAGCTCAAGGCGTCCCGCCGCAAACTCCAAGAGGACCAAAACCCCCAAGGAGAGCGAACCCAAGAAGCAGATCCAGAGTGGAAAAAGGCCAAGAATGCAATCAAGTACGGGCCCAACGACTTCAATATACAGTGGGGCTACCGACATCAAGCCCCGGTGGTGGACACCGACGTGGCCATGGAGTTTCTTATGAACCGCGTCCGGGACAAAGGCGCGACCCTCGAGACGCGGCACATCCGAGAGGACCTACACCTCCAAGAACGCGAGCTGATGGACGACTTCAAGGCCGACATCATCGTCAACGCCAGCGGGCTGGGTGCCAAGGTCCTCGCCAGCGACAACCAGGTCTTCCCCGTGCGCGGTGCGGTGCGGCGCATGACGCTAGATAACAACGACAACGCCGCTCTGGATGGCATGGATTTGGGTCCAGGCGCCAATACCTCTGCCGGTAAGGAAGCCCTTGTCCTCGAACATCACACCATCGCCACCAACTTCCTCAAGCACAATGCAGTGCTCCTTCCCGCGCAGTACGATACACGAAACCAGCCGGGCAAGACTGTCTTCATCGTGCCGCGCAACGAAAAAACCACCGTCGTAGGGTCCATCATCCAACGGAACAACTGGGATCTAGCCCTGACGCTGGAGTCGCCCGAGGTCGAGGACATGTGGAAGCGTGCCCATGGGCTGGTGCCGGCGCTGCAGACACGCAAACCTTCCGCCCGACCCCTGGCCCAGGGTCTCCGGCCGTTCTCTCACTCCAACGTCCGCGTGTCAGCCGACAACCGCACCGCCTCGTGCCGCGTTGTTCATAACTACGGACACGGCGGTTCGGGATGGACCCTCGCCGTCGGCTGTGCCTGGACCTGCGTGACAATCGTCGAGAGGATGCTTCACCGGGCCGAGGCGGGATCTGTGGCCAACGCCAACGTCTGGGGATTGGGCGGGCACCGAGGAGCTGATTGATGGTATGAACATGGTGCCTCTGTGCCATGGTGTGCACAAACCCGGAACTGAAGGGTAAGGTATGTATGTACCGACCTGGGGCTAGCGCTGGGTGGTGGCCAAGGGGACTGGGGTGGAGGAGCGAAAAAGAAACATGTAGTGTTCTTTGAAAGAGCATTAAATTCCTTGGACCAACTTATTTTCCTATTGAATCTCGCTTTCCTATGACTCTGGGAATCCGGTCAAGTAGAACCAATTACCGGATGGCAAACAATCCGAGCATGGCGGCATGGACTGTGAGGTCGGGGTGACCACTGCTGTAAAGTAGGCACTTCATTTCGCTTCAACCCACGTCAGTGGCCTTGCTTACGTCCGTCATTATCGGGAAACAACATGCGCTCAAGGGCTATCGCTGGATTATTTGCCATCGAGGGGGTACGCCTTTGATGAGTTTGCCATTGCGCACGAGCTGCGCCGGCTGGGTGGCTGGGTGGTGCCGGCATATACCATGGCGCCCCACGGCGACGAGGTCAAGATACTTCGCGTCGTTGTACGCCAAGACCTTTTGCACGCGGGTTGCGATGCCTTGATCGCCGACCTTCGCTTGGCTTTGCTCCGGTTGAGCATGACTGGTCTGGGACAAGGGTGTCAGAAATTAAACTGTTGATACCTTCCTGGCACTGATCTCCATGGTCACTCACCCCCATCCCAACAGGTTCAACTCGGCCAAAACTGCTGTAATTCGCTAGCTAAATACAGTAAAATGAAGGAATTTGACAGGGCTTCAATATCCAGTCTACCACGACGTGCACACATAGGTAAGAGGCCCCAAACGCCTAGGCAACACGTAAGTTAAAGACATTTAGAATACATAACGGTTGGTACAACCAGAAGAGAAGGTGTCTACAAAGGGGCCATAACGGATACCAAGACCCAGAATGTACAAGAATTGAAGGGACCTTTAGGTTATTTATACAGAGAGTGGGCACATCCATCCGTAGGCTGTGCTGCCAGTCGCCACAGTAGCGGGGGGTTAAAGGCACTGCGAGTACCAGTCGTTCTGCTTCTTGCAGGTTGTGCCGCAGGTGCAAGTCTTGCATCCGGCAAAGCCATTACCGCCACACTGACCATACTTCTCGGTGACGCACGAAATAGGAGCGGGGGACTTGCTAGGCGAGGCGGGGGCCGAGGTCGGGACGGATGGGACGTCGCTGGTAGACGTCGTGGCGGGCTTGGGAGCTGAACCCGGAGTCGACGTAGAGCTGGGAGCGGCAACGGGGCTCGAGCTGGAGTTGGGCTTGGGCTTGGGCGAAGCTGGCGTGCTTGGCTTGCTACCGCCACCGGAAGGGGCATTGATGGCGGGGAAGCTGGAGTCGTCGTTGCGCCTGCAACCGGTGCGGGCAACGAGCTCGGCGGGGCACTGCACCTGGCGGAAAGTGAAGTTCGGGTTGTCGGCGTTGTTGAACCAGTCGAATCGCCAGTAGCAGCCGGGCTTGAGTGCCTCGGGGAACGAATCACACTCGCTGCGGGACGACACACCACCGTAGCGCTGGCCGCCGAGGCCACCGAACTGCGGGGAGCAACCGTCGAAGATGCCGACACCACCGCCGGGGATGTTGAGATCAAAGTGGTTGCTGCCTAGGTCACCGCCCGTGCTGGTAGACTGAACCACCATCTTCTTGCCAGCCACGGGCCCCGAAGTGAATGTGAGTCTGAGAGTGGTTAGGTGGGTGTAGCTTGTTGTTCTCGGTGGACTACTTACTCATAGCAAGAGCAGCACCAGGAAGCCTCTGACCCGCCAGCGAGAGATGTGGCTGCGAAGCCGTAGGCGAACTCGTCATTCAGCGCCCAGGGTGTCTGGTCGGCGCAGGAGAAGGCAGAACCACCATCACATCCAGACTTGGCGTTGGGATCGGTGATGCGCTGGAAGTTGGCACTGCAAGCGTAGACTGGCTGGTTCACGAGCGCCTTGCCGGGCCAAGAGCATGATGGTTTACAGCAATCCCAGTACCTGCGTGGTGTTAGTGACATTGACCTTCCGGAAAGGCAGAGACCGAGGTAGCACACCTGGTTGATTTGCCATCGGCAGCGTATGCGACCAAGGGGAGGGCAGCAGCTAGCGCTGTGCGGAGAATGGGAGTAGAGCGCATCCTGTGCGGTGGTTTAAGAAGGCGTCAAGGGAATGGTAAAGGAGCGAAACCCTGGGAAGGAATTGGAAACGAGAGGACGGCTCGAAGTGATGCCAGATGGATGTGAGTTATCAGTAATTCGGTATCGAGGGCGAAGCTCAGTTGATATATGTACTTTTATCATGAAGCACCCGGGTACCCGTAGAGCCCGCTAATGACCGGAGGATCCGAGTACATGCCATGCCGACGCTTTTCGACGGCGGCCCTGCTTGGCGAAGTTGACGCTGAGGCGCCTACACCACCAGAGACGAGATGGTGTTTGGCGGCAAGGAGCGTAGGGCGCACAACCAGACCCCGCCCAGCTGCAGGAGACCAGGATCAAAATGCACTTTCCACGGCGCCGGTGTCCTCGATGAAACAGAAGTGGTCCCACACACTCGGATTCTGGACCACAAGGCCGTTTAATTGCGGCTGCATCGGGAATGGCGCGGTTCAACGCTCGATCTCCATCCTGGCCGCCACGAGTAGCGGGACCCGGGGCACCGGAAGGAACACCATGGAAGGAGATATTGCGGATTGCGGTAGGAAAAGCGAGAAGACCCGATGCAGGAGGAAATTATCAGCGCAGGGGTAGGAAGGTAGTGGTGAGATGACGAGGACGTTAAGCATGGGGCCGAGTTGTGCACAACAGGAATTCTTTTCCATTCCATGCCTCAGTTTGGTTGCTCGACTCAATAGTTAATCGCCTCCGAGTTGAGCATAGTGCTTGAGGCGCGTGTGGTTGGGGCCGATGACTCAATTGTAATCTGTACGGAACGAGGAATGTTGGGTGAGGGTGTTGAATACGGAATCACAGAATCACAGAATCACAGACACAGGTTTGTTCGCTGGCATGTGAAAGAAACATGGATGTTTGGAGGCACAAGGGGGAGCTGTGTCGGTGGCCCCCACGTCCAAGTCGATTGGTATTCTGGCTTGGAAAAATGAGCGTGGCGGCGGGTGATGGAAAGAGCGGCATGGATGAGGCTTCTTTCTTTGTGGAAGGCGAGACGGACATGACGGGGACTCGAGGTCTGGACAACCACACAACCACCTTGGGATCCACACACGCCCCACATTACTCACCGTGGTGTGCCGCTCAACAAAGCTTCCCCAAGCACGCTAACCGAATACGGATAGTGACCAGCCAATTTCGCCGCGTCTTTCAGCCTCTTGCAGACCCAAAAATCAACGGCAAACCATCGTCGGTTGAACCACAACAACCACCATCGACGATCACTCGACCGCGGCTATTTTCGACCCGCGATCCCGCCTTTCCTTCCGAAACACTCACTCACCATCGAATCCTAGCCCTATTGCCGGCTGGTTGATGAAATAAACCATCTGCGCACCGCGAGTTGATGCGCACGCCCGCATCTCGTGGCGATTTCTAAGCTCGCTCGTCGCCCCGACTCGACCGAGCATCTGTTTTTTTCACCCTCTCGCCGCAGCCTGCAGCTTGAACCCGCCATTTTCTCGCTGTTTCTCGCGCATAGAAAAGGTGCCCACTTCTTCGCCAAGGAAACTCGAATTCTCGAATTCTCGACTCTCGATTCCTTTTTCCGACCCTCGATTCCTACCTAATTCAACCTTCGGCATTCTTTTGTTCGCCTTAGCTCAACATGGCCGACTTCGGGGCCCAGGGCCAGTACGGCTACGACGAGAGTTATGGCAATGAGAACGACGAACAGTACGACCACGAAGCCGAACTCGAGGATGCCGAAGATGCGGACGATAGCATCACACCCGAAGACTGCTGGGAGGTCATTCAATCACATTTCGACAGCAAAGGCCTGGTTTCACAACAGATTGACTCGTTCGACGAGTTTACGTCTACCACCATCCAGTCCCTCGTCGACGAGTACGCCGACTTGACACTCGACCACCCAAACCCAGGCGATGATGGCAACAGGGACATCGCGATGCGGAGATACGACATTCATTTCGACAACGTCCTGATTTCCAAGCCGATGCTCACCGAAGCCACCGGCGAAACCACTAGCCTTCTCCCTTACGAATGCCGCGACCGGAACCTCACCTACTCTGCGCCTATGTATTGCAGAGTAATGAAGCGTGCCCGTGTCGCCATCAACGAAGAAGTCGCTTTGAAGGACATGGACGAAGAGCAGCAGGAGTACATGGCTCGGACAGGCGAAGCACCCAAAATCATCCGCTGGGAGGAGGAAGATACTGGGCCTATAGAGGGGTCCGGAAAGGGAGGGGAGGAGAAGGGCGACCTGATTTTCCTTGGGAAGCTCCCCGTCATGGTGAAGTCCCAGGTTTGCCATCTGGCTGGCGAGGACGAGGAGTCACTTTTCCTCCTCAACGAATGCCCGTACGACCAGGGTGGCTACTTCATCATCAACGGTAGCGAAAAGGTTCTGATCGCCCAAGAGCGTTCTGCCGCCAACATCGTGCAGGTTTTCAAGAAGCCGCCAGGTGGCAGTGTCTCGTACCAGGCCGAGATTCGCTCAGCGCTGGAGAAGGGTTCGCGACTGATCTCGTCGCTGCAAATGAAACTGCACTCCAAAGGCTCGCCGGAGAAGGGGAGGTTGGCGAACACAGTCAGCGTTACACTGCCGTATGTGCGCGAGGACGTTTCGCTCGGCATCGTTTTCCGTGCTCTCGGCATCGTGTCCGATGAGGACATCCTCAACCACATCTGTTACGATCGGACAGACACTCAGATGCTCGAGGCTCTGCGACCCTGCATCGAAGAAGCTTTTTGCATCCAGGACCGTGAAATCGCCCTTGATTTCATCGGCAAGCGTGGTAATGGCAACGCCGGTCAGAACCGCATGAACCGCGTTCGGGCCGCAAAGGACTTGCTCCAGAAGGAAATGCTCCCCCACATTTCGCAGACGGAGGGCTGTGAGACTCGCAAAGCCTTCTTCCTGGGATACATGGTGCACAGGTTGCTCCAGTGCTACCTCGGCCGCCGGGATCCCGACGACCGTGACCACTTCGGCAAGAAGAGATTGGATCTCGCCGGTCCTCTGCTGGCGAAGTTGTTCCGCGGCGTCATCCGCCGCATGACGCAGGACCTGATGTCGTACATGAAGCGCTGCATCGACACCAACAAGAACTTTTCGCTCGCCCTGGGCATCAAGCACTCGACACTCACTAATGGCTTGAAGTACTCTCTCGCGACGGGTAACTGGGGTGACCAAAAGAAGGCGGCGAGCTCGACCGCAGGTGTGTCGCAGGTGTTGAACCGCTACACTTTTGCCTCGACACTGTCCCATTTGCGGCGCACCAACACGCCTATTGGGCGCGACGGCAAGCTTGCAAAGCCCCGCCAGCTTCACAACACCCATTGGGGTTTGGTGTGCCCGGCTGAGACACCCGAAGGCCAGGCTTGCGGTCTCGTCAAGAACTTGTCACTGATGTGCTACGTCAGTGTGGGCACGCCCGCGGATCCCATCGTGGAGTTTATGATTGCCCGAGGCATGGAAGTGCTCGAGGAGTATGAGCCACTCCGGTACCCGAACGCCACCAAGGTGTTTGTCAACGGTACTTGGGTAGGTGTTCATCAGGATCCAAAGCACCTCGTCACACTGGTCCAGGGGCTGCGGAGAAAGAACGTCATCTCGTTCGAGGTTTCGCTCGTCCGGGACATTCGTGATCGCGAGTTCAAGATCTTCTCAGACGCGGGTCGCGTCATGAGGCCGCTATACACGGTGGAGCAAGAGCACAACGGCGACAACGGCGTCGAGACGGGCGCGCTGATCCTCAACAAGGAGCACATTGCGCGACTGAAGTTGGACACAGAGATGGGCAGATACCATCCGGACTACTGGGGCTGGCAAGGCCTGTTGAAGTCGGGCGCCATCGAGTACCTTGACGCCGAGGAGGAGGAGACGGTGATGATCTGCATGACACCCCAGGATCTCGACCAGTTCCGTGCCCGCAAGAAGGGGAGGTTCGAGCAGGACAACTCCGGGCAGGGGAATAACAGGATTAAGACGAAGCCGAATCCGACGACTCACATGTACACGCATTGTGAGATCCATCCCAGCATGCTTCTCGGCATCTGCGCTAGCATCATCCCGTTCCCGGATCACAACCAGTCACCCAGAAACACATACCAGTCTGCCATGGGCAAGCAAGCCATGGGTTTCTTCCTCACCAACTACTCGCGGCGCATGGACACGATGGCCAACATCCTCTACTACCCGCAGAAGCCGCTGGCCACGACGCGGTCGATGGAGTTCCTCAAATTCCGAGAGCTGCCGGCCGGCCAGAACGCCATCGTTGCAATCGCTTGCTACTCCGGTTACAACCAAGAAGACTCTGTGATTATGAATCAGAGCAGCATCGACCGCGGCATCTTCCGCAGTCTCTTCTTCCGCTCGTACACTGACTGCGAGAAGCGAGTCGGCATCAACATCGTTGAGGCGTTCGAGAAGCCCAACAGGAGCGACACGCTTCGCCTGAAGCATAGTACGTACGACAAGCTCGATGCGGACGGCCTCGTGGCGCCTGGCATCCGAGTCTCGGGCGAGGATATCATCATCGGGAAAACGAGCCCCATCAACCCCGACAACGCGGAGCTCGGCCAGCGGTCCAACCAGCACGTCAAGCGCGACGCGTCTACGCCGCTTCGTAGCACGGAAAACGGCATTATCGACGACGTTGTCGTGACGACCAACCAGGACGGCATGCGCTACGTCAAGGTCAGGGTCCGCACCACCAAGGTCCCGCAGATCGGCGACAAGTTTGCGTCCCGTCACGGTCAAAAAGGAACCATCGGTGTCACGTATCGGCAGGAGGACATGCCCTTCACAGCCGAGGGCATCACTCCCGACATTATCATCAACCCGCACGCCATTCCCTCCCGTATGACCATTGCCCATTTGATCGAGTGCCTCCTATCCAAGGTCTCGACGCTAAAGGGCATGGAGGGCGACGCGACACCCTTCACCGACGTGACGGTCGACAGCGTGTCGGACCTCCTCCGCGAGCACGGCTACCAGTCCCGTGGCTTCGAGATCATGTACCACGGACACACGGGCCGCAAGCTCCGCTCGCAGGTCTTCTTCGGCCCAACCTACTACCAGCGCCTGCGCCACATGGTCGACGACAAGATCCACGCGCGCGCCCGCGGCCCGCTGCAGATCATGACCCGCCAGCCGGTCGAGGGTCGTGCGCGCGACGGCGGTCTGCGTTTCGGTGAAATGGAACGTGATTGCATGATTGCGCACGGCGCAGCCAGCTTCTTGAAGGAGCGCCTGTTTGAGGTGTCGGATGCTTTCCGCGTGCATATCTGCGAGATTTGCGGCCTGATGACGCCGATTGCGTACGTATTTTTGTTGATTGCTTTCTTGGTGCCCTTACTGACGGAGATATGCAGAAACCTCACCAAACAGTCGTTCGAGTGCCGGCCGTGCAAGAACAAGACCAAGATCGCGCAGGTGCACATGCCGTACGCGGCCAAGCTGCTCTTCCAGGAGCTCATGGCCATGAACATCGCCTCGCGCATGTTCACCAGCCGGTCGGGCATCTCCGTGCGTTAAGCCGATGTGCTGTGTGGCATCCAAGGATGCGCTACAGGAGAAAAAAAGGAAGTAAAAAATTGCATGCATTCGAGGGTCGTTTGGCGTTTCGCTTTTCGCGGTTTACCCCCCCACCCCCGCTTCTTTTTTGCTGGGGAGGAATCGGCCGTGATATTTCATCGGCTTTTGGTTTACGATTTGTATGAAGATCTCGGGGATGTGGATTCGCCGCAGCCGTGTGTTGGAGCCTCGCCCCGTTGATCCTAACTAAGGCTTTACGGTAGGGTCGTTCCATCACAGTTAGGCTGCGCGTGATTTTGGTAATTTTGACAGCGGGGGTCGCGATGTTGTGTTGTGATATACCATATAGTACCGAGTTTGGTGGAATGCAACCGACTTGAAGATTAGTTATTCTATCCTGTGTGGTGATGTCGTCGTTTACAGTATGGTACACGTTTCGTACATCGCCGCCCCTCTTTCACCTCTTGCGTGGGTATCATTTTCCGTCCTTTCTCATTTTATCCCTCCTTTTCCCTCGAGACGCATCAGATGCTACCTCCCCGACCCGCCTGACCCGCCCGATCCCTCCGCGGTACTGTCCCGAACCGTCTGCTCCTTTTTGTACTCGGCCTCGAGCTCCCGCTGGATGTCGAAGTCGGCCTGGCGCTCGCGCTTGAGGCGCTGCTGTTCCATATCTCGGATCACGCCTTCGTGCATTGCCTACGGCGACAGCTGTTAGCAGTCTTGTTCGGGATGGATAGGAAACCCGAAGAGAGGAAATGACGAACCTGTTGCTCTGCCTTCTGCTGGAAGTGCACAAAGACCACCGTGGTCATGGCAAAGAGCGAGGTGCCCAGCAGGGTCATCTTGGAGGCGCGGGACATGGTGGGCGGGTAATTGGCAGGAGCTGTTATTGCAGCGGCATCCTGTGACTTTCCTCGATGTTGAACTCGCTTCACTCTCAATGCTCCGATGAAGCCCGGCTGCACGCGGCCAATGCATATTTTGCCGGGCCACACCGCCTGTCTCGAGTCTCTGGCAGGCAAGTGAGGGGCGTGGGTGGGGCGGTGCCGTCAGCGCGGGCAGGGGAAGCTGTGCCGCCTCGAGCTGCGGCTGTTGGTGCATGGCTTCCAGGTTTCCACCTTCGGCTCCATCCGCCTTGCTTGTGACGACTTGCATCGCATCACGAACCAACAGCTCGACGGTCTTTGCAAATACACAGCGAGATACTTACGATAATCGCCGCACTACCCGTCGACTACAGCCTCCAATACATCAAATACGTTTCACTACCGTCAACCAGACTCTAATCTCCCAAGATGGTGAGGATACCAACAGCTCTCGCATCGGAGCCGTTCTCACTCGAACTCGAGATTCGGCCGATGCCTTCGCCGGGTCTTGCTAACAGCGTAGCAGGCCGCCCAAAACTCAGCGGGCATTCAGACCCTCCTCGATGTACGAACCCTCCCGATTTCAATAACGCTACGATCTCCCAGTAGACCTGTTGGGAATGTGCATTGACTGAATACCGTAGGCCGAGAGGGAGGCATCCAAAATCGTTCAAAAGTGTACGTCCGCCAACAATTAGGCACCTTCGTATTGATACTAACATGCACCAACCACAGCGCGAGAGTGTACGTCCCGATGCCCTGCCAGCCCTGCCGCCCCGACACACGACTGACACCAGACAGACCGCACCAAGCGAGTGAGGGAAGCGCGAGACGAGGCCAAGAAGGAAATCGAGGAATACCGCGCGAACAAGGAATCCGAGTACAAGGGATTCGAAGCACAGGCATGTCGGCTTGATCATGATGAGCTGTGTCACCTGGGACAAAGCTAACGGTCGGCAGCACACCCAAGGCAACAAGGCGGCAGAGGAGGAGGCCAACAAGGAAGCCGATGAGAAGATCAACGAGATTCAAGCGGCCGGGACGAAGCACCGCGACGAGATCATCAAGAACCTGCTCTCGGCCGTTTCCGATGCGCACCCGACCCCTGTCTCATGAAGCCTCATATAGTCGGAGAATGCTAGGACGGGGAAGGCGGTAATGCGGCATGGGAAGCCGCTTTATCTTGCGGGCTCTTTGCATGTGGCGAGCGAGACAAGGGAGAACCAGTGCCAGGAGGCGGTGTATGGTGGCAGCGTTGCAGCGGTCAGAGCATAAACTCGGGCTGCGCCAGCGTCAATAGATTCGACTTCTGCAGTGACTTTCAAGCATGGTGAAAACGGCCAACGGCCATGGTATCTTGGTATCTACTTGGTTTACACGCCCCTATCATAACAGTACTGGCATCCGTATCATTGAAGAAACCGGACGAGTGTCGTCAGCATCTCTTTGGTCTCTTTCCCTTCCTCCGACTCTGCATCGATCCCATCAATCTGCTCCTGAATGGTCTCTTTGATGACTTCAAAGGTCTCGTCCCTGTCAGCCAGCAGCGCTTGGATCTTCTTCCTTGCCCCGCCGTCCTCAGCAACGAGCCACGCCAGAATCACGTCGATGGTTTGTAGGCGGAAAAGGCCGGCGTCAAGACGGCGCGAGAACCACTCATCCGCCATTTCCTCTCTTTCTGTTGCATCCATCTCTGCCCGCTCTTGCTTGATCTGCTCATCGACACGGCCGATGACCCCTGCATAATCCCGCCTTAGCTGGACCAGCCTGGCCGTCTTCTCGTAGTCCTTCTCCACGAACTTGGCGAGCGCGCGGATGCGCTCCGCCGAGTCGGCCGGCAGCAACCGCAGCATCGACGCAAAGATGCCCACCAGGTGTTCCGTTGCCTGGTGCTCGCGTGACTTCATGAACATGGTGAAGGTCGTCTTGAGCCCGCCCGCATCCACAATCTTTTGGCAGACGCCAGCCCCAGCCGGTCCCCCCGCTGCATGGTCGAGCAGCCTCAACGCCGCCGGCTTGCTGAGCTTCCCCTCCTTAAGCATGATCAGGCACAGCTCAACACCCTCAGCGGCAACAAACTTGGCCTTCCCCTCGGGCTCGTCCGCAATACTTGTTAGTGCCTCGAACAGATTCTCCATGTACTCCTCCTCGTCCCCACCCTTTTCCGGATCCCGTTTCCGGTACGCCGCCACAAGCTGCAGCATCTGGTCGACCGCGTCCAGTCCCGCCAGCCGCCTCCTATTCTTCCCCGAACTCTGCACCAAAATCGCCAAAATCTCTGCCGCATACTGCTTGTTCTGCCCGACCGGCGCCTCTTTCCTCCCCGCCCTCTCCAACAACCACTTCACCAACGCCTCCTCCTCCCCCACCACCTCCGCCGTCTCCAACCGCGAGCACAGATTCTCCACCACCCCCAGCGCGCGATACACCCCCTCCCGATCCGCCTCCTGCGTCTCATCCAACCGCCCCAAATTACTCACCACCAACCCCAGCAAATCCGCCTCCACCAACGCATCCACCAACACCCCCCACTGCTCCTCGGTCGCGGCAACATCCTCGTCCGTCAGCTCCCCCACAATCTCGACCGCATCCAGCGCGATATCCGTATTCTCGTGCGCCAGCAGCGACACCAGACTCCCCACACACCCGAGCCGCGCAAAGGAAGGGTACAGATCCGGGTGCTCGGACAGGATGGACAGCGCCTTGATGGCGGCGTCGAGGTCGGCCTCGGAGTCGATGAAGCGGGCCGGGTCGGCCTCGTGGCGCGCGCGCAGCTCCGCGTTGCGCGAGATCTTTCTCTCGAAGGCGAGCGCGGTTTTTTTTAGCCAGGCTTGGTCGATCGTTTCGTCGCCGTCGGCCGTGGTGGCGCCGGTGGTGGTGGCGCCGGTCGGGTTGGTCGCGCTGTCCATGTAGTCGAGGATCTCGCGCTCTGTGCGCGTGATGCCCCCGCCGAAGAAGCGCCCGTCGGCGTCGTCGCCGGGTTCTTCGTCTTCGTCATTGTCGGGGGGTGCTGAGGGGCCGTAGTCGTCGCCGCCTTCGTCGGCGGAGTCGTTGTCGGGGGGTGGGAGGGGGCCGGCTTCGGTGTCAGGGTCGTCGTCGATGTGGGCGTGGCGGGAGGTGGAGGGGGTGACTTTGGCGGATTTGTAGACTTCCGCTGGTGGAGTTGGGTTAGTGAGATGGATGGGGAGGAGGGCGGTTCGAGGGGGGAGGAAGCAAAGCTTACTTGGGTCACGAATGGGGTCTAGCTTGCGCTTGCTGGGAAGCCCAGATTTCTAGGAGCTGTTAGATGGTTGGGTGGATGGCAATTGGTTTGGTGCGGGGTGGTGTGCATACCTGGAAGAGTTCGTCTATGCTCGTCATGGCGGAGGGTTTGGTGTGGTGATGATGTCTGGTGGAGGTTTGGAGAGGAGGCTGCGCAGCCTTGCAGCAAACCCGAGATGGATTTGGTTACAGTTCGTTGGAGTAAATCCACACGGTGCTTGTGTTCAATTGCTGCCAAGGCAAACACAGTGTGGTGGGTCTGCTATCTGACTCCCAAACACCGCCGAAACAGTCATCACCAAGAAGAGACCGCTTTTACGGATGCACTCTTAGCTTTTTGAATTCTTTTTAAATCCTACGTCCCCTCTGTACCTAAGTTCATAATCCTATCTTGATTCACTTCTCATTAAACGAACCCTAAGATGCCACCTACTGTCATCCTCGTTCGGCACGCGCAAGCATTGCACAACGTCGAAAATAAGTCTCCCGACTTTCCTCTCTCCTTCCTGTTTTGCAACATTCTCACTAACATATACCACAAGACTACAATATCCATGATCCAGTGCTTTCAGAACTTGGCCGGAAACAATGTGCCGAGCTGAAAGCACACATCACGCCTAGGATACCGAAGGACTTTGACGTTGGCCTCATCATTGTCAGCCCTTCAATACGAACCATCGAAACGGCGCTGCTCGCATTTGGTGATCTCATCGAGAAGGGGGTACCAATCGTGGCTCATGCAGGATGGCAAGGTATGTTGGCTTTATTGTTTTTTTAACTGCGACTCCTAAATCACCCCGACAACAAACTTGATAACAATTCCCACCCTTTCCCCATCAAATCAACCCACCCTCTCCCTCCTTCATCTCAACCGCCCAAACCCACAACATCCCTCCCAAACCAGGCCCCAAACCAACTTACTAACCCCCCCTCCCAGAAAACTCCCTCCAACCCTGCGACACCGGCACCGCCCTCCCCACCCTCGCAACCCTCTTCCCGCAGGTCGACTTCCGCCCCGTCGACCCCCTCTACCCGGACAAGACCTCCGCCGCCGCCGCCCCCGTCTACGGCTACACGCGCCAAGCCATCGTCTCGCGCGGCCAGACCGTGCTGCGCGAGCTGCGCGCCCGTCCCGAGAAGGCTGTGGTGGTAGTGTCGCACTCGGGGTTTTTGAGGGCGGGGGTGACGGGGCGGTATTTTATGAATGCGGACTTTAGGGTTTTTGAGTTCCTTCCCGAAGGGGAGGGAGATGGGTTGAGGTTGTGGGAGGGGATGGAGGCGGGCGGGATGGGGTGGAGTTGGGATCGGGTTGTGCCGTTGGGGGAGGGGTTATCTGATGCGGAGGGTGGTGTGGATGGTGTTGTGGATGGTGTTGGGGAGGTGGTGGATGGTGCGTGAGAGGTTGGGAGGATGCTGTCGTGATGCCTGCGCCTCCGCAAGTCCGCATCGTTGTCTCGGTGTCGTCGTGTTGTCGTGGGGTGAGCGTTGGCGACAAAGGTAGTTCACGTTATCAACTACAACTTGTCTATGGGCATATACGGATGGTGTGTCAAAGAAGCCAACAGAGATATGAGATATCTTGGCGACGAGTCGGCTGCCCCTACATCACGGGCGGTCGATTACAAATCCTGTTTGGAGAGCTTCGAACCTGCTCAACTTCTTCAACGCCTCGACCCGTTTCTGGTCCCACAGCGTGAAACCGGAGATCCGCCAAAGTTCGATACTAGAGGCATGGGCCCAGTCCTTTTCACTACTCCCCCAGAGAGGAAGCCAAGGGATGTCACAGAGCGCCGCGCCATACCAACGAACATAATGCCCCCGCAACGCATCCGACCAGCCAAACGGTACTTGGTCCGGGTTGTCCCCAACAAAATAGCCCATCAGCAACCCCTCCTGCTCGTCCCTATCTAAGCCAGGGTCGGGGAACTCTTGCGCCCGGTGGTTCTGCCAGTAGGACGACAGCGGGAGCACCTCGTACCGATCCATAAACTCTTCTTCCACGCCCTCGTCCTGTATGAGCAATTTCCGGGACTGCAAGTCACCGATGGCCGCCTCGGCAACCCCTCGGTGTGCGCGCAGATACTCGATGAGGTGACCCAGGTGCGCGTGGAGGTTGCCGAACTGGGTGGGCAGAATCTTGCGCCCGCCTCCTGCTTCTGCCGCTTCACCGGCGTGGTGCACGAGCAGGCAGCACAGGCGCATGATGAACCAGTTGGCATGGTCGATCTGCTGCATCTCCCACGGGGCGAAGGCGGCAAACAGGCCGAGGCGCCGGCCCTCCTCTGTGCTCATATTGCTGAAGGCGTTCGAGTCCGTATTGTCCCAATGAGCCGGGCGTCTGGTTGAGGCCCAGGCGTTGCTCACGATTTGGCGGCGGTAGAAGGCTCGCATGATGCGGTGCCGTTCCGGACGCGAGGGGGGTCCTGTCGCTGGGGTACCTTCTCCACCGGCCAGGTTGAAGGACCCTAACTGTGTCGTAATGTATGTGTCGGTCATAAAATTGATGAGGCCGAGTGTCCGGCAGAGCTCCGTCAACTCTTCCATGGTAGGGGTGCCAGAGTTGTCTCTCACGCGCTGATCTTTACCATACAGTAGCACGTTCTGTGGCAACATGTCCCGGTACACTCCGGCCATGAAGTAGATCCAGTCGTAGTATCGTTCGTAGTCCGCCGGGTCCGAATAGGCGAAGACGGACAGGAACCCGGCATCGTACAATACAGGGCCTAGTTCGTTTTGAAAAACTCGAAAGAGGATGGTTCGCCGCTGTGTCCTGAAGCGACGGTACACAAAGTGCGCAGTGTGAATGAAGTTGGCAAGGTCACGGATTGTGTCAAGCTCGAGAAAGATCTTATCAAACAATTCAGGTGGCAGAGCACCGAGGTGAAGAATGTCTTGCATGATTCCGCGAACTTTAATGGCCAGATCCGGGGCTGCTCGACCGTCGATGTGGGTGGGTACCTATATGGGGCGGGTGGTGGAATGAGGAACAAACTTTCAGCCCGGTCTAGGCACTCGGTGGACAAAGTGAGGGGAGTGACTTTGGGGCTGTGCAGCTCATGGATTTTACGCAGCCATTTACCCCAGCCCTGCTTCCCAGGCGGAGACCATAAAAGGGACACGACAATCAGGATTTCCACGAGACCATCGACAATGTAGTACATCTGACAAGGCTTCCTAACTGAGTGAATCCTTAATTTTTAAATGTTGACTTAAAAGAGGAGTACCTACCTCAAGTACGAGGCGAGGGCTAGGTCAACGTCGTCGAACCATATAACATCCGCTTATATAGTACGAATAGAGTATGACACTTCAAAAAATTATAACCCTTGATTTAGGGTAGTTCCTTAAGAAGGCTTTTACTGCCGTAGACTGTTGGGTGTTGGGTCCCCAGTGGACAATCGCCAATCCAGGGCGATGAGTTCGGAACAGTTAAGGGACAAGGGCGCGTCTCACGCAAGCCTTGTTCCGTATTTGGAAGCTATACCCGTCGTAAGAAGGGACGTATGTCATTCTTGTTGAAGCGAACAAAGGGTAGCTACCTATATGATAATATAGGGAGCAACGTAACCTCTACGGACATTGGGGACGTTATGAAAACGCCGACCGGAACGCAACGCCTATCTCACTCACAACGCGACTCTCATACACAGTACACCGCCTCTTACATGATCTGGTGACCTCCCGGCAGCTCCTCAAGCCCTGTACGAACAGGATCAGCATTTGATACATTCCGTGAAGGTCGCCGGGAGAGAGGGATACTTACAGCCATCGACATCCTCCTGGACGGAAGGCTCCACCGTGCACGCGTTGGCCTTGTCGAAACCCTGGGTAGTCAAGCCGTTGCAGGTCGGGCCGAAGCAGTTGTTGTCCATGGCGTGTTGGAGAGAGTCGTCCTTCCAGCCGAAGACGTAGTCGCCGTGTTGTCCGTAACCAGTGCTAGTTGGGGTTAGTTCGATGAAGCCGAGTATGAGATAGGGGTAATAGAGGGGAAGGTAGCATACGGGTCGCCGGTGGACAGCACAAACGGCTGCGATCCATCCTCGGGCCACTCAGCCTCGTTGTTGAACTGGGTGGTGTCCCAAACAACCTGCCAACAAGTTAGGTCCAACTCAACGGTAATGTACAACTAGGGGTCGGGGGTCTGTACCTCGTAATGGACCTGCGGAATCTTGACTGGGTGAGTGTCCGGGCACTGGCCATCGACCATCGCGAAGGAGGCGGGGCCATTTGTGGGATGAGCGACGTGGTCGACGTGGTTCGGGGTGTCGAGGTTCTTGCCATCCCAGCAGCTATACGGCACCATCGAGTCAATAATAGATTCTCAATCAGGTCGCAGGTCTTGCTGGATGGCACGTACATGGGGAAGATGACGCTCGACCGGATACCGCCGGGGCATGGCGTCGACGGGAAGCTCTCGGTGTCGCGCTGCGGGTCGAAGCAGGGCGAGTAGGTGTTGCCACCAAAGTTGGGGCCGGTGTAGCAGCGGAAGCAGCTCTGCATTCCGCGGCCGAGGTTGGTAGGCTCACGGCGGTTGACCTCGCCCGAGAACATGCGGAAACCCTGCCCATTTCGTAAGCGTCTGTGTGTGTTGCTGTATTAGACTTTAGCAGCCAGGGGCAGAAGTCATACCGGCTTGAAGGCGGTAACCGTGTTAGGGCCTGGGGCGGTGTAGTACACGGTGATGCCACGGTTGGCATCGCCGATCACATCGTTGACCATCTGGGGAACACGCTTGAAGGTGCCGTTACGGGCGCGGAAGTAAACGTTGGCGGTCCAGTAGTTGGACAAGTCCTGATCGAAAGTGCAGGTGGTGCATTTCGCCAACGCGGAAATATCCGTCGAGGGCATGGAAGCGTTGAAGGCATCCTGGGAGAGTTAGTTGTAAGTCCTAACCCCAGACAGGAGTGCGCAGCCTTACACCGCCGACGATCTGGTGGACGTGGGCCGACGGGACGTTGCCGGGCTCGACAAGACTTTTGACGCCATGTTAACAAGACTTTTCTCACATCGCCCCCGAGAAGACGTACGGGTCAATGCGGTCGATGCTGAGCTCAGAGCATCCGAACCGCAGCATGGTGGTGCTGAACTGCGCCTGAACGGCGGGTACCGAAGAGAGTAGCCCCAGCCAAAACATGGTGTCGGTCGATTTCTTACTGCAAACTAGAAACAACGCGGAGATCTAGCGATACTGCAAACGTCAAAATGACAAGTTCAGTTGCGGCCGAAGATCAGGAAGGAATCGCTGGCGATCGGGTCTCGCCGGGCCGCATCTGTTTCTTAAAATGCTCGAGAATAAGAGATCGACACCATAACAACCTGATATCTTTAGAACCTGGGGCACTCAAGTGCCGGTCTGCGGTGCAATGCTGCTGTCGTATATTGACAACATTACCCAGACCTATCAGAGGCTCGATCGTTGATGGATTGTCAATCCCACGCATTTTACCGGATGGAGTATCCAGGGCAGCCTGGGGCGAAACCATGTCACGGCGAAGCTATATTAGCTGGGTAGCGTCGGGCTCGGTACGACGGCACCCCTATCGGCACTCACATGGCCAAATACGGCAGCGAAAGTTCTGTCAAACCCGTCTTTTTGGGAGCATTGACGTAATTTCGGATCGTCGGCAGCATGTTGAGGCATCCAAGTCCCCGGTTCAATCTCTATTCATCTGCGGTGATGATAGATGGGAAACATCAAGCATTTTATTCAACTATGCGGCCCAATGAGCGGAGTTGTCAAAAGACGCGCTGTTCTCGACCATGGGGATCGGCGAAGCCCATGTTTCGGTAGAAGAAGATTCCATGGAAGTTCCCATCGAATTTGCTGGAAAGGCGAGAATAAAGTGCCGAATCTATTGACAGACTAATATTGCCGTGGATGATGTGACCGCCACAAGGGATAACGACAGGGTTCAAGAAAAGGCTGGGGCAAGAAGTTCTCGACGCCCCGTTGTGCCCCCATACTCGCCACCCTCTGGGGAGCTGGCATGACCCCCACACTTTCGACCGCTGAGAGTATACTTGGAATCCTAGATCACCGGCTACACCCTCTGCCTCACCCTCCTGCCGCTGCGTCCGAAGGCTCCTGTCCCCAAGGTAAACTACCCCATGTTGATACCTATAACAGCACGGGAGATATATACCTTGGGCATCGACTTGGGGAGCGTGTGGGAGAGGTGGGGATGGCCCACTCCAGGGTGAGCTTGTTGAGGTGGCGGTCGAAGGTCACGCCCCTACGCCGGCGAGGCTGGTTGGGAAGCCAAGATGCCGAGGCTGCATCATGCCAGGTCTTTTTTATTCCGCGGAGAAATACGTACGGACCTAGATGGACGCAAGACGTTAGTTGGAAAGGGGGTTTGCACGAGTTCCTCCGGTCTCCCCTAGTATCAACCTTATGCTAGCTCCTAGACTCGTTTTGGCCCGAGTTAGGTTCCACTATGTTTAAGCTACATCAAATGGCGTCCGCCCATGCTATTTATCCAACTTTGATCCACAAAACCTTGAAAGTAGAGTCAGGTTGTGATACTGTACTAGATTATATAGGACTATATTGGACAGGCACTGGAACGGTCGTCCCTCCCCGCGTCACCATACCTGGAGAAGTGGTCACAGCTGCTGTGTAACTTGATCCCGTTTCTTTAACATCTATGGTCGCATCAGGCTGTGGTAGCCATTTTGTACTTGTGGGACAGGTCACACAAACGAGAACGCAGTAGTATTCGTCACGGCGGGGCACCGCAACTACACCTGAGACTCGGGTGATTATTATATAGCGCGGTTGAAGTCATAAAGCCCCTTGGACTTTGACAATGGAAAGATTACTGATACAAGCCTTACGATATACGGGGTTGATAAAAACAAGTTCACCAACCCTCAAATCCATGGCTCATAATGAATTGTCAACCCTAAACTCCGACGGGCCTCGGTGTTTTTCTCCAGATTTGACATGGCCGCGTCACACTTTCTTAAAATCCTCGTAAGCGGCTGCACCAAAGACAGAAGTAATACCGAGATCCTTCGGGACCTGTCGGTGGCCTAGCGATTATAAAGCCCAGGTTCTGCTGCGGACTGCGAGCCAGGAGCAAGTTCAAATCGACCCTAACCCTGAAGCCACCCCCTTTTCGTCGTCAACATGACCGTCATCGACGCTCTCAACACCGTCGCTTCGTCGGTGTTCGGCAACCTCGCCCCATTCCACTTGCTCTTTTATTCCACGCTACTCGGTACACAACTGTTCCAGACCTTTATCAACACGAAAGTCTGCTTCGTCGCTCTTCCCCGGTCCGCCTTCACCACGCTCCAAAAACGTATTTTCCCCATCTACTTCTGGACACAGACGACGCTGGTTGTCTTGAGCGCCTTAACCTTCCCGCCACACGGCGTGTATTCTTTGATGCTCCGAAAGGGTGATTGGATCCCATATGCCGTGGCAGCGGTGACATCGGTTATGAACCTCGCTGTGTACGGACCGCAGACGCAAAAAGCCATGGTCGATTGCATTCATCAGGGTTAGTGGGGTCCCTCATAGTGAGTATTGAAGTGGCAAGTGCTGAAGCGATGGCAGAGACGCGCGATACACACAAGGCACGGACGAACAGCACGGACGACGGACCCTCAGCGGAGATGAAGGTTCTTCGGCGGGCGTTTTCCAGCAATCATGCCATGTCGATTCATTTGAATTTACTTTCGATTGGGGCAATGTTGTTTCATGGGTGGCAGTTAGCATCTAGGCTGACCTTCAATACGGAATATTAGTCTATTGGGAGTAGGCTACTTCGGGGCCAACAGCAGAGGTAAAGTCATGGGTAACATTCATGGTTCCTATTAATATCATAGGGAAAAGAACAATGAATGAATAGGGATATTCAATCACACGGTGATCCGGGATCCACGCCATGATGCCCATTACGCATGGACAACGATTGAGGCAGGTACCTCGGTAGCTACCTTACCTAGGTAGGTACCGAGGTAATCAAGCTCGGACATCGACCGCGTAGCTGTCTGTTCACCGAATCACACGACCTCTCGGGCCTCCTGATACGTCGGCACCGCCTCATTGTTTATGATGCCGTCATCATAATCCTCACCGGCCTGGATACTGACGTACTTAGTGCGCATTGATGTTCCGTTCCGTATGAGTCACCCTGGGGGCCCGAGCAAACGGACAGTCGTGCAAAAAGGGAGGCTCCCCCGTCCACTGCAGTGAAGTTCCTCTGCCCATTTTCATCACTTGCGCACAGACACCTGTGAGACGACTACGGCAATTTTGGTTTATAAACAACAATTTTTAAACAACCCTCGGAAACCATGGCGTCCACTTCCGATGTTCCTGGTCGCGTTGGCGTGGACTTCGGCCGCGAGTACTGCTCGCTCGCCAAGCCGCACACGAACTGCTGGCGAGTCCCCCGGGTTCAAGTTCACGGCCACTCCCCCTACGATGACTTGCTGGCTCGGCCGACGGCGAGTCCCCCCCGTATCTCTCGCCCAACCTCGGGGGGCCTTGGGTGGTTTGACGATTGGCCCGTCGAACTGCTGATGGAAACCCTCGAGAACTTGGACTTCAAGTCCTTGTCGGCCTTCTCGCGGGTTTCTGTCGCGGCCTGCAATGCGGTCCGCGCTCTCCCAGCCTACCGGGAGCTCCTGGAGCACGCCGGGGGCGCTCTGTCCGTCCTCGGCAAGACCGGGCTGCTCGCCCACCACTCGGTTTCCTCGCTCCGTTCCGCCCTTCGGTCCCCTTACTGCGCTGTTTGCTCCCGGTTTGGAGCCTTCCTTTTCATGCCCACGTGCCAACGTGCTTGCGCCGAATGCCTCACGCGGGAACTGGAATTCATGGTTGATTCTCCCGCCCACGTCAGGTCATTCTATGGCCTAACCAAGGACCAGATGGCCTCGATCCCGGAGCTACGAATCCTGACAGGCGCCTACGCTGGGAAGCCGCAGAGAATGGGAGATTGCTGGATCGAGCTTTACGGATCTGTGGTCAGCGTCAAGCAAGCGGGGGATCTGGCAGCGCAGCTTGGCGTCCGCCCCACGTCGCGATACCTCGGAGCGCAGCTCTACGGCGAGCAGCCAGACCCTGGCCGGTGGGAAAAGCAGGTCGAATATACGCTCGATGACATCGAAGTGTTCCGGGACTGCGCCTACTCGGGACCTAGTTACGTCCGCTTCCCGTTCCTCGCGGCGTCCGGCCGCGTTGACAACGGCCGGTGGTGCCGAGGCTGCCTGCGCACGCGCTCCGATTTCCTCGCGGGCAAGCTCCCCGGGGAGGTCATCACAGACGTCAGCACGCACGCAGTCGGCGGCTGTGTGGCAACCCACATCGGGGCCATGGCCTCTCGCCTGTGGTCGGAGGAGGAATTCGCGAAGCACGTCACGCACTGTTACGGTGCGCGCGCTTTCTCCGCGAGATGGCACCATGTACACCAGGAGATGCAGGAGAGGGGGTTTCAACCCTGGAGGATGGCGCCGGTCAGGCACATCACCGCCCTAGAACGCGCACGCGGCCCCGAACGAAAGCCCTACCCTAGGATGGCCGACAAGTACGAAGAATGGAAGATCATGATCGAGGAGCATCGGCAGTACGTTGGCGACTTGGCCGGGGACGAAAGACCGACGGTGTATTCCATTCCTCTCTGGCTTGGTCCCACCGAGTATTAACAGTCCAGCGCGACGACATACACCTAGAACGTCTCTTTGTTCTCAACGGGGTCTGACCGTCACACTTCTTCCCTTCCTGCTCTATTATCTACTGTGTGGCTGGGCTGCTCCTTTCTCTGACCCAAACAGAAGTTGTGGCTGAGAGGTGAGAACGTGAACTGCTTCCCTTGGCAACGCTCACCCAATCACGACGTGACAACAACAGGGGGGCATGGTGCAGAGGCGCAGGCCGACGGAGTACAGAGCTCAGAATCGGGAGACAGAAGCTACTTTTCTTCCCAACACCATCGGGCTCCGAAGGTTGTTGCAAGTTTCTTTCTCACAGTGTAAGCAATATCCCGGTTCCCAATCTCTGCGCAGCATGCCCTCTCCTATCGCGAGACATGTGACAATCGCCTCCTCGTCAGATGCCCGCTTTCTCTACAACAAAATATGGATGAGCAACTCGCCCCCACCAGGCCAAGTCCTTGTCGCCCAACTTGACCCCTCAACCGACTGCACCAAGCTCGTCCCGCTCGAGGTCACGTCTCTCCGTTCCATCATCGACCATGGACCACCGCCAGATGGAAAGGTTGATGGAGAAAGGCCGCTTCATGGGTGTCGCGGAATGCCTCATTTGGGCCGTGAGGTATTAAGCGTCCCTCATGGCAGAGAAGGGGATGTGCTGGAGCGTGTAAACCGTGACAGCGGAGGCTTGGGAGTCGGCATCGTTCTGATCGACCACCGAGACGCAGATGACGATAAAGCGAACCCCATTCTGCACAGTAATTTTGGACGGGAGCAGGTCCGCGTTGTTTCACCGACACCTCGTTCGGTGTTGGAACCCGAAAACATGTACTTTAGTGTCGACCCCCGTTTGTATACACCCGACGCCCAGCACCCATTCCGCGGTGTGTGGATGTGGGAGCTCGAAATGGGCGAGTTTGAGTTCCTGTTGCTGCACCAGGAGCGCGAGAGTCGGATCGAACTGATCAAGCTCACTGGGGCGGAGCCAATGCGGAATGGGGTAACCTCGATTATTGCCGAGGATATTCAGGACATAAAGAGGCGAAGTTCGGATTCAGATGAAGAGTGGAAGTGGAACAAAGTCCCAATCGTGCATGCCAAACTGCAAGGATCACGGTCGGCTGCTGGCGAAAGTATGGTGCCCTAACATGCCTGTACTGCCTTCATAACCGGTGTGTTGGCTGATGCTTCTGATATCTAGCCTTCTTCCTCGACATCGAGTTGGCCTTGGTTAGCGACAACGAGATGGTTGTCCTCCTCCCAGAGGATTATGCCAATCCTGCCTTGCAACTGAAGCGCATCGTGCTAGATCCCTTCATCTCGGCTGGCGAGTTGGCCGTTCCGGATTGTTGTCTCTGCAGCAACGCCGAACAGGGCCCAGAGGACGACGACAGCGTCGTCAAGGTGGCCACAACGTCAAAATCGTCGGGGACAGTCGCAGAGGACGCTGAAGTCTTGGGGCTTGGAAGAAGTCGAGGCGCGGTGTTGTCGGCTTTCGAGACGTCAGCAGGACCGCGGCATAAGGGGAGCGTCGCAATGCATCAGATCTGCCGCTGTTGCACAAACTTCTTCTCGCAGGTGCAACTGGAAAGACACCCAGCTGCCGTACTGCTTCCGCCCCAGTCGCAGCACAGACTTCACGAATCTGTCGACAGACTGCGAGACTCGGCCGCGGCGGGTTGCCACTTCTGCTCGCTGATTCATTACAGCCTGACTGCCGCTGGATGGCTTGACAGCAACGACGATAAGGGCATTTATGTCCTGTACTCCTGCTTTGAGGGGAGGGGGAGGGAGCGCGTCGAGTTTGGCGTCGACAAACCCAACCACGTCCCGCGACCGGAGAAGCCCGTGATATATGTCTCGCTACATCCCACCGGGGAGTCCATGGATACCTTCATTAAACCGGGGGTGAGTCCCCGAAACTGGTACAAGTTTCGCAGCATCACTTCCGATGGTCAGTCTTGACCCCTACCGCTGAAGCGGAATGATGAAGCTAACCTGGACACGGGAACTTGCAGAAAACGAAAGTCGCCCCTCGAAGGTTCCCCACAGAGCTGCCTCCGAGGTGCAGACATCATCACGGGCTCATATGAACCTCGCAAGGGGTTGGCTCGAGCGGTGCAGCGCTCACCATGCCATTTGCAACCAACAGGACCCTGATTTTATCCCAACGCGTCTCCTCGACGTCCGTGGTCCCGCAATTCGTCTAACGCTCACAGAGTCGAAGAAGCGCAAAGAATATACCAAGTACTGCTGCCTCAGCCACTGCTGGGGCGGCGTAACCGATATGCCGCTCCTCAAGACCACCACCCTCAAGTCCTTCGTATCCGGGATCGACATCACCACCCTCCCACGCACCTTCCAGGATGCCATCCTTATCACGCGCCAGCTCGGCGTCCGCTATCTTTGGATCGACTCGCTATGCATCGTGCAAGACTCGGCGGAGGACTGGGCCAAGGAAGCGGCCGTGATGGGCAAGATCTACCAGAACGGGCACTGCACCATCTCGGCAGCCGAGGCCGCTAGCGGGCACGGGGGTTGCTTTGTGCGGCGGAATCCGCTCAACTGCAACCCCGTGCGTGTCACGAAGGTCGAGCACGGCGAGACGCTGTTCCAGCCGTTGGGGTACCCGTCCGTGCAGCCGTCTGCTTCCGGGGCGGAAATAGAAGTGGACGTCCCGGCGCCTCGGCTGACGATGGTCGATGTCTTTACTTCCAAGTTGGCGTCGCGCGGGTGGGTGTTCCAGGAGGCGTTGCTGTCGCCACGTATCCTGTACTTTGGCCGTGGTCTGTTTTGGAACTGCAAAGCCGGTCAGGCATCGGAGCTGGATCCGCTCGGCAGGGGCATTCTGCATATGGGGATGCAGTATGGCCCGGCAACCGATGCCATCTTCCCCAAACTACTAGAGTCTTCGAGACCGGGCCGCGCAAGAAAGCGCTCGGCCGCCAGCAAGAAAGTGACGGGCAAAAAAGCCGAGCAAGGTGACAGAAGTGAAGCCATCGACCGGCTCTTCTCCATGATCACCCTCGGCCGCCCCACGGCCCTCGGCTCCCCTGGCCGCGCAGAGTTTGACGCGGTATGCGCTTTGGCCGAAGACTTCTCTCCGAGCGGGGAGATATCCTCCAAGAAGCTGCATAGGGAGTGGATGCGGCTGGTAGCCACCTACTCCCGACTCCAGCTGACCTTCGAGAACGACCGCCTGCCCGCGCTGGCGGGAATCGCGCAGACTGTTATGTCGCTTGCGGGGGGTGTGCTGAAGGGGCAGTATCTCGCTGGAATGTGGAAATGTACGCTGGTATTCGATCTTTTGTGGTCCCAGGGCGCGGCGGCCCTAGACGGTCATGGGCCGCGTCCGCGACTTGACAGAAACGAGTGTCCTTCTTGGTCGTGGGCGTCAATCGGCGGCGCGGTAGAGTCGTATCTGGGAACATGGCAGGACTGGCCTGGTGGGATGGAGCTGTTTGTCGACATCGTGTCAGCAACGACCGAGTGTGATCCGCTTGATACGGCCAGGACGGGGAAGGTCACAGGCGGCGACTTAACAATGGAGTGTATCCCAATCCCCTGCCACGTCGAGGCGAGGAAATACGCCACGGTCGATATGGTTGAGGTACACTGGCGCCTCATTGATGGTGAGGGGAAGGAGATTGGGAAGGCGACGCCAGATACCAACCCGAACGAGTTTGTCGATGGAGCCACGTTTGCGGTGCCGTTTTTGAGAATAGAGGACGGGTCGGAGATGGAACTTCATGGCCTTGTCCTTGTCCAGAAGGGAGATGTCTTCGCCAGGGTGGCAAAATGGACGGCGACGACCCCAAAGGTGAGTTAGACCAGAACAGTCCGACCGACAGAAATGAACAAGCTGACAAGGACGGCAGAGTGAAACCCTGGACGTAACCACCTACGAGGAGTTGGCAAGGACCGTGATCATCCGGTAGATATTTGGCATAGTAGTAAAGAATAATTACACAATGTGTTTTTGTCCACTCCAATTCCATCATTTCTGCACCTGAAAAATCTTATTCCCTCTACTCGCACCTTCCCCAGCTCCGAAACACATTCTCTCGTCAACCTGAGCGGCGTCAGCTACTAGAAGCCCGCTTGAAGCCCTTTGGGGGGGCTCGAACCATCTAGACTTCCGGGCTCCATACCTAGGTACCTGTATTCAGAACTAGCCAGTAAAGAAGGATATAATCTGGAACAACGATTTATAGCTAAGGATATCTATATAGCTTATAGAAATATATAGTAGAGAGTTTAAGTAAGAGGAGAGAGGCTTCCATTTAAAGAAAGCATGGGCTGCTTTCCTTGGCAACGCTCACCCAATCACAACGTGACAACAACAAGGGGAGGACGATGCGGAGGCGCAGGTATCACCAAGGCATCCTCTCAGGCTCTCTCCCCTGAGTTGCTGCATATGTCGTACCTAGGTAATAACCCCACCTCCGACTAAGGTACCTAGCTACGTACTTAATCGTCTCGCACAGGCGATCGACTTTCTCGTCCTTTCTGCCCATCGAGGGGTCCACGGTCCACCATCCCACCGGAACCCGACTTCTTCGCGGTAGCCAATAACCATTGGCATTAACCCTTACCCGATGTCCGTCGGCTTCGGCTTCTCCGTCGGCGATTTCCTCGCCGCCCTCAAGCTCGTCGGCACCGTCATTGATGCCCTCCGCGAGGCATCCGAGTCGGGCGACGCCTATCGCGAGCTGCTTCACGAGCTATTTGCCCTCGAAACCGCCCTGCTTCACGTGAATCGCCTCGAACTCGATGATGGGCAGCGCACCGAGAAAATTGCCCTGCGCCAGGCTGCGGCGCAATGCCAGCGCACCATCGATAACTTCTGGGACAAGATACGAAAATACCAACCCCATCTGCGCCATGGTGGGACGGGGTCCCGCATCAAGGATTCCTGGGTCAAGATCAAGTGGGCGGTCTGCAAGAAAGATGACATGGAGCGGTTCAAGGCTGATCTGAGAGGGCACAGGGGAGCTATCGAGGTTCTCCTATTGGCCGTGCAAATGGAGGCCGCCGTGATGCAGTCTAGGAGGCAGGACGAGGCACAAAAAACGCTGGCCGGGAAGATACAAGAGTTATCTTCGCAGTGGTTCGGCACGCTGTCTGCCATAGCCGATGGTGTCAACCATAGCGTGCAGCAAGGAAAGTACCTCCTCGATGCCACGGCAAAGATCATCCAGACGAACCTGCGAGTGTTCCAGATGGTCTTTGATATCCACCAGTATATCCTTAGAGTCCCACCGCAGGTCAACCGCCAACAGCCCGTCTACATGATCGATGCGTTTGGCAAGGAATCGCCCTTCCATCTCGAATTTGTTCGGTCGGCAGAAGCACTCATTGCGATCTTAAAGGTAAACTTCAAGTCAACCAGTTCGGGATCACGAATGATTGAACGTGGCGATTTCGTGATAGAGGACGCTGGCACGAAGCGAGATATTGACCTTGACTGCGACTGGGACACTTGCTTTTTCCCCGGACAACGCGTGTCAATGAGCATGGTATTCAAGCGCCGCGGGGAGCCGACGACGTCCACCTGCCCTGCTTGCCGAACCGAAGCAGGATCAGCCGCAGACCAAGAGGTGGTATGGTACGTACCTACTCGATGACTGGGACATGGCACCCGGACTTACCCGCTCCTAGCGACAAGTGCGGGATCACTTTCCGTCGGGTGAGGGAAGAGCCTAGCGAGATGCCGCCGCGGCTGCACCCGCCAATTGTGACAGAGAGGCTTCGAGCCGTCAAAGGCCCACGTGCAGCCGAACCACAACCCAAACCGCAACTCCAGAGGAGGAATGAGGGCGGAGACGACGTCGATGACATTCAAAGATTCCGACGAGTGCGATTGCTGGAGTCAGTCAGCCGCTGCAGGCTCTATACTTCGGTGAACGGCAGCTGGTATGACTATGGAACGGGTTTAGCAGTGCGAACCGATGTCATTGACGTAAGTTCATGACTTTCTAGTATATGGTGTTGGTCAACGCAAATGGACCGCTATAAAACACTAACAACGTATAAATACCCTAGGACAATATTTGTATCGAGGTTCACTCGCAACATGAACCGGGTCACGAGTTGGTCATGGAACGGGTGTCTCGACGTGGTATTCAGGGAGAAGACGGTGAGAGGCTGCAGCTCCCAGTATATGACGCCCGCAGCTAATCGAAAGCCATATAATAGAGACTCTGCTAGTTTGGACTAATGTAAAGTCTCGCACTAAACGGGCACTCAGATTTCAAACCGAGGAGGGGTACATGGCAGCCTGGTATACATCCTTCACCTACTCATCCTCGACGTTACCTGCCTTGTCTAACACTCATTAGGCGTCCATCCTACGTAGGGGGGAGGCTTGAAGGATGGTATAGGCGTTATTTCTTTCCGTAGTCGAGATAGATTTCCCAAGTTCTTTAGGCCTCTCCGGTAGGGCCAGTATAAATGGGAACACAGTGAGATTGATTACATGATTGTTGGAATCGAGCGAGGGAAACGACATCCAGGGAGCTGGGCAAGGAGACAACTACTACCTAGTAGACGAGTAGTTTCTAACGAAGGCAGCACAAGAAGCACGAGTTGGGGCGACTCGGAAACTACCTAGATAAAGCAATGCGGGACTGATGTACCTATAACTTACCTGTGACCGAGAGCCGGTTTCCCACGACACGATGAGCACTAATCCATTGCCCTAGTGACAGGCACTGTTGAGTACTCTCACTCACTCAGGCATCGTAGGGGTTCCGGTCACCACCGCAGGAGCGGCCGTTGCGGAACCCCTGAGACCAGCCGACGCGGCGCTCTGCAGCAGGCTAGCAACGCTGCTATACGCCGGCTTCCTGTTAAGATTCCTGTCAAAGAGACACGCCTCACCTTCACCAGGATACTGGCCCGGAATCCACGAGTACTAGACACCCCCCCAACCAGTCAGCACAACACTCCCAACTCCATACCAATTACTGGCCCGGACATTCACATACCTGATCCGTAAAGTCCCACACCGTCACCCCCACACACCCAGGCGTCTCCAAACACGCCCCCACCACCTCCACATAATCCCGCGCCTGCTGCTCCCTCTCCGCCTCCCCGACCGGCAAGCTCGTATGCCTAATATCAACCTCCGTAAACGCGACCTCATTCACCAACTGCAAGAACCTTGCCATCGTCTCCTTCATCTCGCGCTTCGAGGGGGACTTGCCGACGCGCGAGTGGCCCTGCATGCCGACGCCGTGGACGGGGGCGCCGGCGTTGAGGACCGACAAAAGCATGTCCCAGGTCGCGTTGATCTTGGCGTTGCAGCAGCGCTCTATGTTGAAGTCGTTGTAGTAGAGCCGGGCCGAGGGGTCGGCGCTGGCGGCGGTGAGGAAGGAGTGTGTGATGAAGTCTTCGCCCATGGCGCGGTACACTGCGTGGTGGGGGGTTGGTATTGAGGTTTGTTGTTGGGAGGGAGGGAGGGGGAGGGGTGGTGGGAAGGGGATGATGGGACGTACTGGGGCTCTGACGGAAACTGCCGTCGTCATTCATCGCTTCGTTGACCACGTCCCAGCTGTAGCATTGGCCCTTGTAGTGGCCCACCACGTTCTGGATGTGGGCTGTGAGGATGCGTTCCATCTGGTCTCGGCTGTAGGCACTGCTGACTGTTTGGTGTCTTAGCTGCCGGACGGCACCGAGTTGGGGAACAACTCACCCCAGCTTGGAAGCTGGTTGTGCCAAACTAGGGTGTGGCACCGGAGAAGCTGCCCTGTCTCTTTAGCGATATTCGCAATGGCGTCTCCGCTGCCGTACGAGAACCGGCCTTGGCTGGCCTGAGTATTGCTCCATTTCTGGCCGTTTGCTGGCGTGATAGACCCGAACTCATCTGAATCCCGCGCTATTCTCATGTAGTTCTGATTGTTAAGCGACGGGTTGTCAATGGCCGTTCCAAAGTACTCTAACCCGGCTTCTTTGGCCAGTTTGTTGAGCTGGCATGTTGCGGGACCAGCAACCGCAAGTAGCACGGCGGATACAGGGAGATGCATGTTGAACACAGTGGAATCAAAGTATTGGTCCTGAATTGTTCATTCAAGTGTTTAGCTTAGGAGGATAGGTATATTGGTCTTCCGCCCAAACGACATCCGCCATCTCGGAGCATGAGCGTGTCCTGGGGTATTTAACAGTTCATGACGGATGAGTTCCTTTGGCTTTTATACAGGCTAAACTTGACTCATTGCTTACGGATGGCGAAGGTACAGGACCGGTGGTAGGCTGGCACGAAAGTCCCGCCGATGACGGACGGCATGCTCCTGTAGACCGACCCAACCATCGACGCTGGAGGGACCAGCTTGGCAGAGAAGAATGTTACCCACGATTACCCTCAAGGCCACCAGGTGTCATTGGGTTAAAGTGCGTCTCTCTGCAGTCAGCTTTTGTTCTTATCACGCGCTTCTGCGTCACTTACGGCCAACCATCCAATTGTCCTAAAGTTTTATCATTGCCTTGCGAATGTGTCTATAGAATTTAAGGACAACCCTACGAGAGAACGAGGTTAAAGGAAAGGAAAATGGGCACAGTACAACATTTTGTGAGCCACCGTTGTGTCACATTTGCCCCTACCGAAATAGTAAGTGGATGGGGATAGCCTGGAAGTCGTAGGGAAGTTAACCACAGCTAGTCGCTCTCCGCTACCCCCTTCTCGACGAACCCCTTCTCATCAGAAGGTCGGACATCCCGGTCCCGCATGTACTGATAGAGCCCCCGGTTCCTCCTCGTCATTTCAACGTCAACAGCAGACTCTTCAGGCGTCTCCTCCCACGGCTCTGTATCCATCAAGACCTTCTTCCAGGCTGCGTCTTCCGCCCCTTCCAACTCCTCAACAGTGAATAGCCCTGGGCGGGACGGATGATTGTTGAGTTTCAGAACCACAGCTCTCGCGCGGTCAACGTTGTCATCCGTGACACCCGTGGCAAACGACCAGACAATATTGGAGGCAGCGGCGTGTTCCCAGTCCTGAATGTCGCAACCTGTAACGCTATACATCGTCACTTCCTCCTTTCCAAACAGCAGCACACTCAGCTTTGGCCACAGTTCTTGTCTGAAGGCCGGACTGGTGAGATCAAAGGCCTTCACCTCGGGGTGGGTCGGAGTTTCGTATCGATATCCAAACAACCAAGTCGGCCGCCACCACGGTCCAGCTTTCATACGTGGTGGAACTTGGGTAGTCTTCGGGTCGAAGTCCTTGACCAAGAGCGAGAATGGAATGGTGATGTGGACGTGAATTGGCCCATTGAGCGGCAGGTTGATCGATTCATTCTCAGCAAGGGAAACCGGGATAACCGGCATTGCCGCAAGTACTAGTTGTTCCATAAGGCGGCGATGGGCGGTTATGGTGGTGTTCCTGTAAGCTTGTAAAAAGTTGAGAATCATTTTCGCGGCGAGTTGGCAGGTTTGGGGTGAACGTCAACTCACTTCGGAATGGGGTGCAGGATGTATGGGCCACGCGTTCATATATGCATTGCAGCCTTCACAGCCGAGGTGAGCCCGATGCTGTTGTTGGTTTGGTCGGTTGGTTCGCAGCCTGGCTGTGCTGGGAAGGCGACAGGTTCCTCAGCCATTCATTGGTTCTTGGTCTTGGTCTTGTGAGTCTTATGCATGTTGGCAGTTTGATCCCAAGGCACCCGTTGGCAACCTACCTAGGTACCTAGGTACCAGGCAGGCATGCCAGGGTCCACGGAGGCCAAGTTGGTAATAGTCATATCCCCAATCCGCTTTAATCAGGTAGTCAAGGGGGTCTCTAAAGTCCACCTGAGAAGATGTTTCCATTCGACGACGATGTTTCGGTTTGGGCAGTGCGGGATTCTGGATACTGGATAAGGACGGACGGCTGAACCGAACAATCGCGCCCGATAGCGGCGGTTGCGTGAGGTTCAGCTCATTTTATGTAGCTCTTGTTGTTGGAGAAATGAAAGAGAAGAAAAAAGGAAAAAAGAAAGAGCAAATTGTACTTCGACGTGTTCATCCATCCAGCCCCCTGCACATCGTTGATATCAAACGGGAACCAAATCGGAATGCCTAGCGTTGAGTCGGCCGTGGACAAAATCAGGAGAGACAATGTCAAAGGCCATGGACGAGTTCGTCCGGCAATTTAGGAAGTGATTAGATACCATAATCAGGTGTTCTTCATGGACCTCTTCGACTGAGGTTTGTGAATCTGATCATAGGACGCTCACAAGAGGATCACAATACTTAGATCATCTAACCTAGGCCCGGCTACGAACCTATTAGCAGCTTGTCTACCCTTGGTTGTCGCACATAGTTCTGAATTTAAACTTGGAACTGGGCGAAGGTCTTCCTAGAACGTGCTTGGTAGGGCAACTGGCGATCCTATCGGATACCAAGGTTTCCAGCGCAGGCAGGCGCTCTCTTGCTTCGGCGTGTAGGTGATCTCTAGCCACCCCGAGTTCACAGGATTCGAAACAAAGATTGTGCGAATATGTGAATGGGAAAGATGGAGCAAGAATACTAGGAGGGGAGGGGGCGCCTTTGGAGTCGAGTCGGGGGGATAAGTGGGCCAAGAGAGAGCGCCAGGAGGTCGCACGGTCATGACGCATATCATGACGAGGGAACACTGACGGGGGTTGTCATCGGATGAAACTTTCTTCCTCTATCATGGCCCGGGGGTTCTTCACTTTGGCATTCAGGGTCCTCACTTTGGTGGGCAGGCTCATTATTGTATTGGTATTTAAACTATTAGCGACCTTGGTATCTTCAAATTCCAAACAGCCCCTTGCCGATATGGCTTCCGCCAGCGGCACTCAAGGCACCCGGGCCGAAAAGAAGACGATGCGTGCCGTCGTCTGGGAGGGCAAGCCCTACGAGATGGCCGTTCGTGACGTCCCTCGACCCGAGATTATCCAGAGTCAAGATGCTATTGTGCGCATCACTACCGCTGCCATCTGCGGAACGGACCTACACACCTACCACGGCACCTTCGGAAGTGCGACTCCACCCTGGTCCATGGGCCATGAGGCCGTTGGCGTCATTGTTGAGGTGGGCCAGTCCATAGAGCACTTCAAGGTCGGAAACCGAGTTATCGTCCCCTTTTCATCCGACTGCGGTTTCTTGTCCGTGGAACAGCGGTTCGAAGATCAGGGGGCGTTCTACGGCGAAGGGTCCGACTTTGGGTCGGAGGGGGGAGCACAGGCCGAGTACCTGCGCGTCCCGTTTGCCGACGACTCACTCGTCGCCATCCCCGACGACTTCTCCTCCGACCTCGACTGGCTCTTCCTGTCGGACGTCTTCGTCACGGCGTGGACGGGACTGGATTACGCGCACTTCCAAGCTGGCGATGCAGTGGCGGTCTTTGGCGCTGGGCCCATCGGCCTGATGTGCGCGTACTCCGCCATCCTCCGCGGCGCATCGAAGGTCTACGCGATCGACCACGTCCGCGACCGGCTGGACAAGGCGGCCTCCATCGGTGCCATCCCCATCGACTTCTCGTCCGAGGCCGGGACGGCGAGCGAGCAGATCTTGCGCCGCGAACCGCTCGGAGTCGAGCGTAGCGTCGAGTGCGTCGGGCAGGAATGCCTCAACCATGATCTCAAACCGGAGCAGAACTATGTTATTCAGGAGACGATTCGGGTGACTAAGTACAACGGCGGGATTGGAATCCTGGGGTTGTACATAGCTTTGGGGAAATCGGAGGGGACGCCGCGCGGTGAGTTGATGGACAAAGAGCTATCCATCTCCATCCCGGCGATGTTTCGGAAGAACCTGTCGATTGGGTCCGGCCCCGTGAACGTGTCGCTGTATGAGGTCATGCCCAGGGTGTTTGAGCTGGTTAAGAGCGGAAGGGCAAAGCTGAGCTGGATCGTGACATCCCAGGTTGGGATTGAGGATGCCCCCAAGGCGTATGACCGGTTCGACAAGAAGCTGGAGATCAAGGTGGTCATTCGGTTCCCCTGGGTGAGGGAGCAACCGGTTCAAGTCTCATCCGAACCGGTGGCGGAGGTGGAGACTGCTGGGGAAGAGGGTAGCAGGTCTGAGGAGAAATCGCCGGTCAAGATTTCGAGGTACGTGGAAATGAATATCTTTGACATCTTGGACATTTGCTAATAAATCTGGGGTCAGTGGCCGGAAGAAACCCCGAAGACCCTCGCAGTCGTAAGGGTTGTTGGGAAAAAGGCTGATGGAACTTGTAGGTAATTCTTATGCGAGATAATGAGGCAAGCATGAAAAGGATCAAAAAGGGTTAGCAAATCGTTTCGTCAGTGGCAGCACCGGCACGTTGTATTCGTGCCCGGCTCCTCTTCGTTCGTCGTGTATACCGAGCCTGGCTCGAGCCTGGGCACCAAGGGCCCAGGCGCAGAGATCCGAACCAAAAGTGGGTGGTCCATGGGAGACCACTTGAAAGGATGACTGGGAGGCGGTATTGGGGGCGCTCATCCATTGGATCTTTGTCAACTTCGGGCTCCCGTGCTGATGTCCGATGCCCCTCGGGACACCAACCTTGCTCATCAAATCCAAGTAGATCCTGGCGTGTCCAAGCAATCGCGCAGCAGATCTCGGGAGATTCTGAGTCAGCTCCAGAATGTTGATCCAAGAACCTTTTGAGTTGGCGGTCAGCAAGGGTCAGCAAGACACTCGCACCTTGCATGCTGTCCCCCCTGATGCGATTGGGCCGGTATCGAACCGCGGTACCACAGGCGCTGCTGCATTGGACATGACTGGACCGCATCCAGACGCGTTCCATCTTCGGGCCGGCCGGCCGCCACTATTATCCGCCTAGCGAGAAGAGGAACACCAGATCCGGTATACTTAGAGCTGGAGCAGCCAACAAACCCAGGCTTCAGGATCAGAAACAGTACCTAGCCATTCTCGATAATTCGCCCGACATGCGTTTCTCGCTGGTGCCCGCCGTTGGAGCTCTTCTATTCGGTGCGACCCTCATCACCGGGGCCCCTCCGAACGACGCCGCGGAAATCCTCCAAGATCTACAGCGACAGGCCGAAGCCAAGTTGCGCGAGACGAACAAACCAACCCCTAGTACCCGACCCGGAGATGGAGACCAAACGTGCACGCTCGCCAACGCTGCCGTCCGCAAAGACTGGTATGTCTCCCTATTCTCCCTTTTCACCGGACATGCCCCCCCGTCTGGAGACGAAATGTGTTGTTGCGACGGCCCTATTGTTTGCTGGCCAGGGAGGCCAGATGCGGACATCTCACGGACTGCTATTGTTCCCGATGTCACACTAACACCAGGTGTGTCCTTACCTTATCCAGGGAGCATATGTCTAGCAACCAAAAAAAGGACTATATCAAAGCCGTAAAATGCCTGTGGAAGTTGCCGTCTGTCGATCCGGACTTCTCGGCCGCGCAAAACCACTTTGACGACTTTGTCGCCGTGCACATGAACCAGACCAACTTCATCCACGGCACGGCCAACTTCCTTACATGGCACCGCTACATGATGTGGCTCTGGGAACAAAAGCTGCGTAACCAGTGTGGCTACACTGGTTATTTACCGGTAGGCTTTGCGTTGCCTGCTTGTTTGGGATGTAAGACATCAAAGCCACAGTGGCGCTAATCCCCATCACAGTACTGGAACTGGTTCAAGCATCAGGACGACCTGTACAAGTCCCCAGTCTTCGACGGCAGTGACACCAGCCTAGGTGGCGATGGCGAGTACTTCGCGCACAACGGCAGCCTCGTCAGCGCTGGACGGATCTGGTTGCCGTCAGGAAAGGGTGGCGGCTGCGTCAAGTCGGGCCCTTTTGTCGGGTACGCTCTGTTGTCTATACCGCCCCCCACACTGTCCCCTGCGCCTCCATGACCAGGAACGATGACGATCTGACCATAGACTTTTGTCTCCAGCTACACAATCAACATCGGTCCGGTCCAGCCGGCCATGCAAGGCTACACCCCCGTCGTCACCGACGTCAAGCACCTCAACCCGCGCTGCCAGCGGCGTGACCTCACCATGGCCGCGTCCACGTCCACCTTCACAGCCGAGAACCTGCTCAACGTGACCCTCGGCCCCGCGTCGGCCACCATCGGCCACTTCCAGGACGAGCTGCAAGGCACGTATGGGACGCTCCGGCTCCACGGGGCCGGACACCACGCCATGGGCGGCGACGGCGGCGACGTCTTCACGTCGCCCAACGACCCAGCCTTTTACCTGCACCACGCCATGGTCGACCGCCTCTTCTGGATCTGGCAGATCCTGCATCCGGCTGAAGCGAACAAAGTCAACGGCACCATTACCTTCCGCAACACCCCGCCCAGCCGCGAGGGTACGGTCGATGATATGCTCGATATGCGGGGGCTGGGGCCGGCTATTCCTATCAAGGATGTTTTCAACACCCTTGGGGGCACTCCGTTGTGCTACATTTACGTGTAGATAGTTGGTCGTCTCGGGCGCTGGTGGAGGGGAAGAAGACGAGCGGTTAATGTATTCAGTTACGATTAATAAGGTGGACTTGATCACCATAGTGGTGATGGTGAATACTTGAACTTGCGGTCAGCGTGAGGCTTTTAACGATTAGTTCGGAATCGGTTACGGATAGTCCATTCATTTACAACATCTAGTAGCATGACTGGACCTTGAACCATCGATCAAATTTAGACGGATTGTGCGCTATCAACCCTTAAGGGGCTGCATTATTGAACACAAGAAACCCCCTCCACTCACTCCAGGATCGTCGCCAACGCCGTAACCTGATCACGCAGCTGTTGGCTCTCCCTCGGGGCATTCTTCAGCACCTTCTGCAACAAATGATCAACCTGCGCACCCGGCGCCGTGGGCGGGTTGCCCTGCGCAGTCTGGATGCGCGAGACCTGGAACTGCAGGAAGAACTTGGGCACCTTGATGCCGAGGTTCCCGCCGACCGACCGGATGCCGGCCTCAGTCGCGAGGTAGACGTCGAGCTGGCTCTGGAAGGTGGCGAGGTCGGCGTTGCGTAGGGGTGTGGGCGTCGCAAACTTGTCCAGCGCGAATTCAAGCGGGGATTGGGATGAGGAGGCGAAGTTGACAGATGAGAATGACACGCCGCCCGACGAGACGTCCGGTACGCCCGAGCGGGTCGTTCGGGAGCCGTCGCAGGTGATGCGCTGTTGTAGATCGGTTGCAATGTCGGCGACCTCTTTGGGGAGGACTTGGTCGCCGACAAGGAAGCAGGAGTTGGCTTGCCGCTCTGAGACGAGGGGTGCTGGGTTGTGTTAGTGACCACAGCGGGACTTTACGTTGGGAAATGCATACCGGAAAGGGCGAGGCCGGTGCCGAAGGCGAGAACTGCGAAAAACTTCATTTTGGGTGTGGGTAGAGTCGTAGTGGCGATAATTATGTGTATACGTTGAACTAATACAGAGGAGAAACGAAGATTACTAGCACCAGTGCCGTAAGTAGAAACAATGCAGCCAGCCACAATGACGATCGAGAACTGAGATCTACAGAGGACCATCGAACACTATAAATATGCGCCCACATTCGCGGACCGGGGTCACTCGGCCGTTGCCGAAGCGCCCGGTTCGTCTCAAGTTCCCGCAAGGGTGCCGAGGTCCTGGGTTAGAAACCGTAGAATCCTACTTTAACGCCGGAGATTATCTCTAAACAGAATGGCTTGCGGTTTTCTTGCTGGAAGTGGGTTGCCCCTGGCATGCGAAGGAGTTGAGACGTCGGTGGGGGTCGTTTCATCCCTGTGTCGAACTGGAAACGCCGCTTGTCCCCGTTTCCTTATCCCCGTGTCGAGGCTCGCTTAGAGAAAAGAGACTACCAACATTATACAACGGGTAAGAAGGGGTAAATTGAGGTAGATACGAAGTAGTTGAACATAAGTCGAAGTGAACCTTCCCGTGGACGCTCTTGTTTTCCAAGCGCGTAACCAAACACCTTTGTCATGATTACCACCGATGCACACACCACAGAGTTATCCAGTACACGCAATTTAACGATGGTCTATATTTCGCAGGTGATAATCTCAAAATCTAACAATCTCGACATCTCCCCCCACCATCACCATGCACCATTTCCACACACCATCCCCATCTACAGCTCCAGCCCCTTATAAGCCTCCTCCAAACTCTTAAACCCCGTCACACCCAAATCCTCCTTCCCCAGCACCTTCCCCCCATCATTCCTCGTCCAGCTCCTCTCCCGAAACTCATCCCAAAACTCCATCATCACCCCCATCTCCTCCGCCCACAGCGGCCACACCTCCCGAAACGCCTCCCCACCCACCCTCACAAACTGCGCCTTCGTCCCTTTCGCCCGCGCCCACACCTGCAACATGTCCCCTGCCTGATACGTCTCCGTCGCCGCCAGCACCACCGCCCCCTCCCTCGTCACCCCCCCCTGTTCCACCGCGGCCTTGACAAATAACCCCACGTTCGCCGACACGTCTCCGATCGTCTGGATCGGCGTCTCGGGCGCATAGTTGGCTAGCTGCAGGTACTTGTTGGCCGTCGGGATCCAGTAGGGAGCGAAGACGGGGAAGGCGTAGTTGGCGTGGTACCAGGTGACCCAGAGGAAGGTGGTCTTTGCGAGGAGCTGGGGCAGGTGGGCGCGGATGTGGGCGTCGATGCGGTTCTTGCCCTCGAAGTGGGGGATGAGGTATTTGTTGGATGAGAGGGCGAGCGCGTTGGGGAGGGTGCTCCAGATGTAGTGCTCTAGGGTGGGGGTGGCGGCGGCGGCGAGGGCGAGGTTGGTGCCCTGCGCGACTTCGATGTCCATCGCTTTGGTGGCGGATTGGTGGGCGATGAAGGGCTCGAAGAAGTTGGTCACGCCGAAGATGATGTGGGAGCCGGCGAAGGCGGTCTTGAGGCTCGCGAGGTCGTTGAGGTCGGCTGCGACTACTTCGGCGCCCTGGGCGGCGAGGGCTTGGCCTGAGGGGCTGGATGGGTTGCGGGTGATGGCACGGACTTGGTAGGCCGGGTTGTTGATGAAGGCGCTGACGACGCCCTTCCCCTGGGCACCGGTGGCGCCGACGATGGTGATGAGCTTGGCCATTTCGGACGGAGTTGCTGGTGGAACGTTGATGATGTTGGACGGTTTGATGCGAACGGATATGGAACTGCGTTCAAGAAGGATGTGTTTCGTAAGGAAGTGTAGGGGAAGATTGTGAAACTGCTGGTGTCTAGAGGTGCTGATGACGGATTTGTGTTGACGGTGTCTACAAAAGGAGTCCACAATGGAAGGCCAGCGAGACGCTCCATACTTATACATCTTGACCTACCACGGAACTTGATCTCACTCGCCACCATATATTATGGTGTTGATGATTCCATGAACATATTACCAATGTGCCCCCATGCTGGTGTTCGGAACCCGAGAGAGTATGGCGCCTTTCAGTAAGGCCCTATCACGGAAGACGGCGATGTCGCCTGAACCAGTCTTTGTCAGCCATCGTAGGAACCAAGACGGTCTATCCTCCGATGGACGACGGGTTCATGGGAGTCGAACGGGAAAAGGGATCTCCCGGGCAGGTCTTGACTCAGCACCCCATCGGGATGCACATGTCGTTGATTGGACAATCGCTGCACAAAGGGGGTGGATGTTCGCGATTATTAATCGCGAGGACATGCACAGGCGTTCAGTAACCAGCAAATCTTCGAGCAGGGGGAAATTGGGAAAACCGCCGAAATCGGAAAACCTACCAGGCCGAGCTGCGAGGTGCTGACTCAACCCAAGCAGTCCTCTTGATTTATTACAATGCTTCCCCGTTTATCATTGAGCCTTGAAGTCGATGATGTGGAATCTAGGAACTGTAAAAGGCTGATGATAGGATACGTTTTCCTCTTCGGGAGGAGGTTGGAAAACAAACTCGAGGAGTCACAATTATTTCTAATATTGCCGAGCAAGCTTGCACCCCGTCCAAGGTTGTCCCGGAATGTAAAGCATGGATACCTGGGGAAAGCACGTTGTGCCCAAGTGCACCACTGAACCATGTGGGTGGAGAATTAAATGGTAATTACCTACCTAAGGTACCTAGGCATCATGGAAAAACACGCAAAGGTTGCGAGAATCAATCCATGCTTGGCGCTGCCTTTTCGCCCCTGGGAGCTAAGATGTCGTCAATTAACTCGAACTCTATATATCAACACCGAATCTAACGAAGATGTAACCAAGAAGGGTATCTATCCACCTCCCGTTAAATACAACCCCCTCAAACCGCCCACGGCTTCTCCACCCCCTTCTCCTCATACCACTCGCCCACCCACCCCTTCATCTCAGCCGCCGCATCCAGCACCAGCTTCCTCACATCCTCATTCAACTCCCAATTCGGGCCATACAAATCCGAGCAATGCACGCCCCCCTTCACCACCCTCACAGGCAGCTGCTTGGTCGACTCGAGCGGCCCGCCGGGGCGCGACGCACTGGAGAGGGTGGCGTCGCGCCAGGGGTCGAGCTGCCCGTTGGTGTGCATGGCGCGCGTGGTGTTGGTGACGTCCCAGCCGCCCGTCCAGCGGTTGACGTCCCGGGCCCGCTTGCCCGCCGCAATGCCGTAGCCGCCCTCGGGGAAGTGCAGCGGGCACTGGCTGTGCCAGTACTCCGAGTTGACGAGGCGCGAGACGAGCGTTCGCTGCTCGGTGAGTGGGGCGCCGTTTTGCCACCATTCGAAGCTGTGGGGGTGATGTTAGAGGAGTGGAGGGGGCGGATGAGGGAGGAGAGGCTTACGGCTCGTTGCAGAGCATCCAGTTCCATTGACGGTTGACCCAGTTGTCGGGGCTCAAGTCCTTGTAGGCGGGGTTGGAGGGGTTGGAGTTTTGGAAGCAGCCGGTATTGAGCTCGCCCTCCCATTCGGGGTAACCGGAATTCTCGCAGTCTGGACGGGGTCAGTTTGGTTATCGCGCGTGGGACGGAGGCATGGTGAAACTCACAGCCGGGAATGACCTCCTCCCTTACGAATTTGGCGTAGCCCTCTAGAGCCTTTGTCAAGCCGACACCCCGCGCGCCGGGAACCTTGTTGGTCGAGTTGGGCCAGACGTTCTCGACAAAGTCGCAGAAGCGGTAGTACGGCGTGTAACCCTGGACGTCTACCGAGTAGAACTGGGTCGACTGCCACTGCCACGGGCCCGTTTCGAGCGCACTTTACACCGGTCAGTCATCGCCCACTGAGACACGCCCACGCCCAAGAGCAACTCACGAAGCAAAGTCTTGATCTTCCAGGTCCCCGAGCAGGAACTTGTCCTTCAACGCCTGCTTCCGCTTCTTCGACCCAAAGCTCAACACCAAATCCACATAATTGATCACCGCATTCACATCAGCACTGCAGTTCTTGGGCGTCGCCTCCTGCGCGGGCGCGAAATACTCCCAGAAATCCCCCACGGCCTCCACGACACCACTAGAGCTGTAATAAGCCCAGAACGTGCCCGGCTCCAGCGCAGCGAGCCACCCGGCCAGGGCGCCGGCATACGAGCCGCCGGCAAACACCCACGGGGCCTTGGCGGCGGAGCTCTCGCCGGAGTCGTCAAACGGCGGGACGAAGGTCTTGGCAAAGTAGGTTAGGTCCTTGAGGGAGTTGTCGAGGGTGAGATGCTGCAGGTTCTCGACCGTCAGGTTGTCGTAGGGGGACGAGCGGCCCCAGTAGCGGTGCTCGAGGATGAGGACGGCGCCGCCGGTCTGGTTGGCCATCAGGCCCGGCAGGCGCGCGCTGCCCAGCCAGGTGAGGTTGAAGAGGTCGCCCGTCTGCTCGCCCGGCGTGGTCAGGTAGACGGGCGAGCCGGGGCCCTTCCAGAATTCGGTGCTGTACCAGTAGCGCTGCTTGAAGGTGCCGAGCTCCGGGTCCCCGTGGTCGATCAGCTGGTCGAAGGTGCCCCAGCCGTTGACGGTCTCGGCCCGCTTCTGGAGGTCCGCTGCGGAGACGGTGTTGTCGTCCGGACCGATGTCTATGGCCGTGCCGCGCCCGAAGGCGGCGGCGTAGGGGGCGAGGAAGAGACCCGCCGCGAGGGCGGTAATGGAGACCCTCATGATGGTTGATGTTGGGGGGGGGGGGGGGGGGAAATGTGTTAACCAGAGCAAACGAAACGCCCTGGGTGAGAGACTGAGAGCCTGGAGGGGAGTGGTATTACATGTACTTCCATGAACACGGATGTGTGATTGTTTATTAATTGCACGGGCGGCTGTGATTACAACCATGATCAGCCCACGGGTCCTGGATCCCGCCACCCGCTCAAGTTGTGGACAGGGGCACGCATGGAAGGAAGGCAGATCGCAAACAGGCAGCTGGCAGTGCCACACTGCCACGACAGTATGCAAGTCGCAAGCCGCCCACGAGAGAGTTTACTGGCTCGCTGAAGGCCATTGGCCGCCCCATGGCGGGCCTCGGCCAGCGTCACTCGCGCGCGCAGGTTCGGAATGGGGGCCATGGCTTGAGAGTGGACACAGCTTTCTATCCAGATCCCTCCCGTCACCTTCCCGTTCCGTGCCAAGGGCGCCGCCCATATAGGGAGGTCCTCCGACTTGGATGCTCTCCCCCGCCTCCGCCAAAGGTGGACAGTCCGGGTTCCTAGAGGTGCTTGGTGTGTAGATGCCGAATTACCGCGAAAGTTTTGAGACTTAGCACCATGGGCCGACGCAAAGAATTCGGTGGGATGGATGATGGGAGGATTTAGTCGATCGTGGGGCGGTGTTTGAAGGCCAAGATTGTGCTGTCATGCTGTGCAACCTGGAAGGGCAGCTGGCACCCGGAAATAAACCCGAAATTCATGGCCAACGGGGCTGTTCATCCCATGTTGAGGCCGGGTGCTTGCCATTCGCTTCAGCATGCGCCTTCCCAGTTCAGATTAAATTGGCGGGGAGCACCAAAGAGGATCGGGAAGGAGTGGCACGAGGTCCGGCCTTGCACCAAATGCCAGGCCAAGAAAATGCTTGTTCCTGGTTCCGAGTCCCGGGCTCTTCCTTCCCAGCTTCTTCCCAGTTCCAAGCCACGCATGGAGGCATCCGCCGAGCCTGCGGCTTCAACGGCCGCCCCTCTTTAAGTGGGACGAGGACTGTGCCAGGAGTCTCAACCCCGCGCAGCCAAGCCGGTCGTTCACCCTCTTCCCTCTCACACAAACCGACATCCGGATCCACCGGGCATCTGCATTGAACAAATCCCCTTGTGGTGTAGTTGGCTATCACGTTCGGCTGTAATGGAAATTATCGATACCGAAAGGTCACCGGCTCGATTCCGGTCGAGGGGACGTCTTTTTGACCCCGCTTTGTTGCCCCGTTGGCAGAGAGATATGTTGTCTTTTTGAGATTTGATGAATTCAGGTATCGCCCGAGTGGTAGTTAAACCAATTCCGGAGTTGTCTAGTTTGGCAGGTCCTCACACACTGGTAGTTATCTGCCTAGGTATCGAAGTTACAAGGTTACTATGTAGGGACCTCCTCAACGAAGCTTGTTTGAACTTGGAGCTGGGTTCGATGTTCTGTAGGTGCTGTATGGTGCAAACGCCTAGACGTCTTGGCGTGTGCGCGCGGGTTGCGCAACACTTTCTAATTTCTATCGATTTTTGGGAAAATATAGGAGGGTAGAAAAATATATACAGCTGTATCAACCAAACCACCACATGCGCGCACCGCGCGGATACGCCAAGTTATACATCTAGATATGTAGAATCCGAATTTTGTACCTAATTGATAATACGGATAAAGCGCGTTGCATCGTTCTTTCGGACGCAAGCTTCGAATACAGTGAAGCAGGCGGCGCCATCATTAGCGAGGCCGAGGTGGAATTTTCCTTCTCTTCGAGAGATGCGCTTATCGCATCCTTCACCGACCACTTCAAAGACCAGCAACTCATCCAGAGTCTTAGCCAAAGGGAGCTCGAGCAGACGGGCAGGGACGAAACCAAGGCGATTTGGGGCGTCACTTGGCACGCCGGCACCAAGGAATGATCGGTTCCTTGTAACTACGAGATTCGAGAGATTGTATTATAACGTGCTGACCTTGAGCTCGTCACGTTCGAATGATATACATTCCCAGTAAAGTGGGGTTCATTTACAGCACCTTCGGTAGTAACGGGCAATTGGATGAATACTTTAGTTTGTCACACGGCCCGTATGTCGGCATGCCTAGGTAGGTAAGTATTTCTGTGAGACATGCTAGCACAAGGGTGCTAGCATCATGAGACCTTCCAGAACTGGCGTTTTCAAGAGATGCCTCCTTTATCTCTGTCTCGGATTTCAACAATGACAAGGTCGTTTGAGAGAGGGGGCGGTGCTGGAGTTCTTCTGGTTGTGCAAGCACAAATCTTAACATTGATATCATGTCCGTCAATTTGGGCGGCCGATCGATATTCGGCATTTTTTCTCCATACTCGAGAAAACAAATCGTGGAGTACATTAGGTACCCTCGCAAATTCTCAACAGAGCCCTTAAGCGCCACGCGGAGTGAACATCACCATAGTTTTGCCTAGCGGCAGCATGGCGGCACGCCAGGTCATCCAGCGCGGCGCGCCCGGCTCTACCAGCTTCAGGTCGTAGTTCATGATGATCTGCCCCACCACTACCTTCATGAAAGCAGCGGCGTAGTACCGTCCGGGGCTATTGCACGCGATGTCAGTACGAGTACATACAGAACAAACCCAACCCTCTTGGATGTGTTAGATACCCGGAATGTAGATAACGCACCAGGCCATACGTCCATATCCCCACATCAAAAAAGCGCTGTCCACGTCCGTTAGCTTAGCCGGTTGCTTTTTGCTTGCCCTTCCTGCCATGGGCTGTCCTCCTCCTGAGTGACCGCCCTCGAGCCTGTCCAGAACAGACGGCTCGACAAACCGGAACCCGTCAAACTGCTGCGCCGACGGCCCGTAGTGCGCCTCGCTGCGCATCAGCGCGCCTGAGGGACTGCACGCCCAGTCTCCTACGTTGAGGGCAGTGCCGTCTGAGAAGGTAAAGGGTTGCAGCGCGCGGCGGCGAGTGCTCACTTTACGGTTGTGCTTAGTACACGCCTTTTTACGACCCTTGCTTCTCGGGGTGGAGAGAAAGTTTCTTACTGGACTCGACGGGCGTGAGACGGGAAGACTCGCGCAGGAAGCTGTCGAGCAAGGGGAGGCCGTGGCCGGCACGCTCAAAATCCGCGTACTGGGATAGCAGTTCCGTCCGGATCGGGTCGATGTAATCTGGGTGGAGACAAAGGTCGTGGAGGGCGTAGACGATGGTCTTGGAGAAATGGGATAATAAGGGTTAGCATTGTGTTCAGTCTAGAAGAAAAAGGGATAAAAGAAAGTGCGTGGAGGGGTGAACTCACCGTGGTGAGGATGTGCACTGAGCCAAACCAAATGGCCATCAGCTCGTATATTACGCGCTCTGGAGTCCATGGCTTCTGCTTGGGAGCCGTATCGACGAGCCATTGGATACAGTCGGCCTTTTATCAGTGAGTATGCCTTGCGGATATTCAATCAAGGGTTGCCACCGACCCGCTTGGGCACCTCGTGCCCCAGGTTCTTCAGATCTCTCTCTTGACAACGGAGCTGGGCGGCCGGTATCAAGTATTCGAAGAATTTCCTGTGGGCGTTAAGATGGCAGCCGAGCATTCCTCCGACCACACTAGTAATCTCTTAGATTGTGCTGACAAGGGCATAACGCCAGGTTGGAATCACTCACGGCCGTAAAAGTTTCGGCAGCAGTTTGACTATTTCTGCAGTAAGCAACGTCTGCTCGACATACGGCAAAGCACACGCCATAAACTCCTCGTTATTGGCTTGCAGGGTCTAAGGTTAGCGCACGGCATATATTAGAGGAGTAGATTCCAGGTAACGAACCTAACTCCTGCCCAAACAGGGCGAGTCCGTTCAGCTTCACCACGAGCTCGATCATCATGGGGTATATGGGAGAGTGTCGAACCCCTGAAAGCAGTGTGTATATTCAGCAAAAGGAGAGACCAAGACGCGTTGGGAACCATCCGCATACCATTGACCTCGGGGTGCCTCTCGTGCAGCTCCGCGAATAGGGCCTTGGTTGTGAGACTCAGGTCTGGCAGGGTCTGGGGAAGATTGCCAGTCAAAAGCGTCCGGAGAGTGCGTACAAACCCGACGCCCTCCACTCCCCGCCGCTCAAACCAGTTGAATCCGCTCATTGTGTAAAGCGGCTGCAGCATCTGCCGACGACAGGTTAGGTGTATGGCCACTACATTAGTCATTACTTTGAGTATTTGCTTACGTGTTTCGCTGCCCCATTGAGGGAGAGAACCGTGTCAGGAGCCGTGTCGATCTCCTTGATATGTTTCGGCGATGACACAAACAGATAGCGAGAGTCAGGTGCGAGTACCTCGTAAGGTTCGCCATTCGACTAGATGCCGTATCTCGTTAGTAACTAGTTCAATGGAGTGGTTGGGCAAGATGTCTGGGCAGACATACTCTTTCATAACCTTCTCGGATGAGACGCGGACCGTTCAGGAGATACGACCAGGCGGAGGCCCGTTTGCGGATGTGTCGGATAACCCGGGACGGTATATACGCTAGAGTAGAATAAACAAGCCAGAACGAGACAAGACTGAGAAGAATGTTGATGGTGGCGACAGAGGAGTCCTTTACCAGGGACGCCTGAAGCTGGGAGATGTCGAGTTTGTCCATATCCGCCATTGTCAGCTTAGTGTCTCTAGTATTAGCTGACTTGCAGAAGTTTCTGACAATTCAGCCCTACAGAAATGATATGGCAACAAGATATATGCAAAACCCAAGTTCTTAGAGCGCTGGGCTGCGATTTAGCCTTGGGGCCTCAGACAACCCCAAAGTACCATGTTCGTCCTGCGGCCCAGCACCGGGAATTACTTTGTGCCCATGCGGCGTAGAGTCTCAAACTGATGAAAATGCCTAGTTGGTAGGCCAATGAGCTTTGAGGCGTCTCAATGATTGTGTCTGGCGGTTGGTAAGGAATGTCACGGTCCTAACATGTGCAGTGTACCACAAAGTCTCAAGCGAAACCAATCGCACGAAGAACATTCAATGCCGGACTTGATGTTGGAGGGCTGCGCCACTTTAACGACCTCTTGGCCTGGACACGAGGACTGAAGCTGGCTGACGGACAGTTCTCGCCCCTTTTGTGAAACACTGATGGGGCCTTTTTTGCCGCTCATTGACGTTGGAGAGGAGTACAAGTATGCGAGTAAAGTACCTAGGTAACGTAGTCAAGACATGGGATATACTCCGGCGCAACTGACATATCAGGAGACCTGCTGTTTTGGAAAGAGCTCAGGAGTGGAAAGACTGCTGATCAATAATTAAACAAAATATTGTCTAGCATCTGAAAGCCTTCTCTCCACATGTTTTCAGCTTGGGACGTGCCGTGTGAACTGTGCCGAAAAGGACCCCCCGCGAACCCCAATGAACACACGGGTGGTAGGTGATACGGGCCGCGGTCGGCAAAGGATCCTTATCATGCAAGGTTCGCATGTCAAACTGTCAAATGCAGATCCTTCCAAGGACGGCGCTTCAATCACATTTCTCACCGATTACCTACGCAGTGCATCCCACCACTTCTACTGTGTAACGCCGCCTCCTGGCCTCAAGACGGCAGACACGCCGTATGGCTGCATCGCCGTATGGCTGCATAATTAATTGAAGGCCAATTACTCCAAAGCACCAGTAAGCAACCAGTAAGCAAACAGGATATCTGGTTCGTGCGAGCATATTTGTGTCACTTCAGTTAGGCACCTACTTCAATCCATTCTCCCCGACATTGACCCACAATGACTTGATGAATCACATCGCACCACCAGCGCTCAGCTCTATCCCGCTCGTTGTCTTGAGCGTGCAGACTGTGCACGATATTCCCCTCGTAACCCAGATTATTGCCATCATGTCCGAGTCTCAAGAGATCCTCACGACGACCGTGACAGCCGAGAGCTTTCTCGCGGCTATCATCGTCTTGGTGGTTGTCCCATCTTTGTTCGTATTTGTCCGTGTAGCCAATAGCTACCGCCATACGAAGGGCCTTTACGCCGATGATTGTAAGATACCTAGGACAAGGCTCACCTGGGACCGTTAGGGTATACTGACAGACCGACACAGGGTTCTCCATCGTCGCCGTTGTTTTTCTGGCCATCATATGTGCCCTGTATTATATCATGAGAACCAGCAAGTTATGACTAGCGCTCGAACAACTGGAGACTGACCAAGTCCAGCGCTCAACGATCCCGCCGTGGGTTTCCTGTACATGGGGCGAGTAAGTCATCTTCCCTCTCTGCCAATCTCCCTCGACCTAATGTTACTGACACAGTATCTCCGTCCAGCTTATCACAGCGGTGGGGTTCATGGCTATATTCACGGTCTATTTCGCCAAGGTCCCGATCCTGCTTCTCTACCTACGCATCTTTGGCGTCCATAGGGGCGTGCGCATCGTGTCATGGATCTTGCTGACGGTGCCGCTCGTAATGCTCGTGGGCGCCGCCATCTACGGCGCCGCCGTATGTAGCCCGGAGAACAAGACGCTGGACCTGGTTTGGCTGCAGGGCTGCATTCAGCCGTCATTACGCATCGGCGTGTGGAATGGGTCTGTTTCGGTCGTTGTCGACATTATCATCTTTGTCCTTCCTCTGCCCGTGATTGCCGGGTTGAACCTGGACCGGAAGAAGAAGGTTGCATTGGCCGTGGTGTTTCTGGCGGCTTTTCTTGGAATCGCTGCAAGTGGTGTGACGCTTTACTTTCGAGGAGTTTCTCTCGCTGGTCGGGGTTCTTCGGGAGCCGAAGTTGGTCAAATGCTGGGCCAGTAAGTCATTTTAGCCTGCTTTGCATCATCATTCATCAACTGAACTGACGCCCGCCTCCGCCGCAGGATTATCGAGTGCTCCATTGCCATCATTGTTGGCTGCGCACCCGCGCTCCGCTCGTTTTGGACGGGACATATCACCCAGCTGGCCATCTACTCGAGGCTTCAGTCTGCGCTCTCGACCACAAGATTCAAGAAGTCCCAGGCCTCGATGGACTCCAAGGCGCCATCTGCGGGGGCCAGTTCTGAGCATATTGTCAAGGCGCATGACTTTGTGGCACTCAACGAGATCAGGGTAACCAGAGACACGCAGGTCGTAGTCACGAACGAGGAATCTCAGCGGCGCTGGTGATGCGGCTGTGACTGTATCTACAAATCTAGCTCGGGTACCTTGATGAATGGCATTGCCAGTTGCATGCATCATGATGCATGTGCCTTGATTGGAATTAACCGCGGAACTGGAATTGAATCTACAGCTAGCTAACTGTTGTCCTTCCTGTGAACCACCATGGTCCATGACTTCCCTCCAGACGAAACACAATGTGAGATGTCGGCACAATCGGAACAGAAGGGGCAGATTTGACCAGTTTAGCCATATTAATTCCTTTGCTCCAAGGAATTGCCCCCGGTACGGCGTAGTTGATAACACTGATATTCGTTCTCTGCAGACTGACTGTTCAGGCAGTCCTCAACATGGCCTGTCAGGGGGGTTGGAGGGGCCAAGCCGAAGCACATCGGTTTCCAAATAGGTATGTATTCCTGTACTATGGTAATACCTGGGATGCAGCGGGGCTGTGCGAGAGACTGCACAAAGTACATACAACCGACCAACAGACGCCAAGACATGCATGCGGAATGCCCAACAACTGCATGTTACACAGTACCTATATACGAGACTCGGATGTTGAGCCCGAGGCAGCAAAAGCAGCACGTGGTACAGCAGCTCATCCCGCCGGAGTTTGGCCGCGACCACCAATAAAAACGGTTCTCTCAATGGCGACACAGGTGTCACTCTTTCATGGCACTTCTTGAGCGCCCCTCGCCCCCACACCCTCACACCCTCACAGCCCGCTCTCTCTTAGGTTACTGATTACCATCACCATCACCCTCACAACTCGCTCCTACTCACCGAGCCACTACACTCACCGCTCACCAACCGACAACCCACAACAATGGCATCCTCCACCACTTCCCCAGGCACTCCCTCCCCCTCCTCCTCTGGCAACACCCAAACCAACCTCAAAATCATCAACGCCTCCCTCTTTCGCATGGGCACCAAGTCCATGGCGCATGCCTACCAACTCCTCGGCTTCAACACCCACCACGGCCTCCTCGAAGACGTGACCAAGTCCCCCTGGACCCAGATCGAGCACGCCGCCGAAGCCACCTGGCCAGACGTTCCCTCGGCGCGCCCACGCCCTCCCTTCACCAGGGCAGATTGGGACGCGCTCTGGGGTGGTTATGACGTGGTGACGGACCTGGCGTCGCCTTTTGCGGTGGAGCTGGTTCAGGCATACCCCGAGGCGAAGGTCGTGGTGGTGCAGAGGGACTTTGAAAAGTGGTGGCCTAGTTTTCGGGATGAGGTGTTGGATCGGGTGATGATGCAGCCCATGGCGACGGTGAATGGGTGGATTGGGTGGCATGTCATGGGAATTCGGGCGGTGCAGGCGATGCGGAAGGTGCATTTTGGGCTGTTTGGGGCGAAGACGAGGCCGGAGATTGAGGAGAATGCGCGGAGGACGTATGAAGAGTATTTCAAGGAGATTAGGAGATTGGTGCCGGAGGATAGGAGGCTGGAGTACAAGATGGGGGACGGCTGGGAGCCGCTGTGCGAGTTTCTGGGGGTGCCGGTGCCGGATGTGCCGTTTCCGATGGCGAATGAGCAAGAGGCGCATCAGGAGGAGGTGAAGAGGAGATTGGGCAAATTCTATGGGAGCACGGTCAGGTTGCTTCTGCCAGGGGTGGTTGGGTCTATAGCTGTGTTGGGGGGTTGGTGGTGGTATCAGCGGACATGATGAGATAGACAGAACGTAGCGGTCAAGTAAGCAATGGTATATCATTCCTTGCTGCCTACCTAGAGTATCTCCATGTCCAACTTCACCCTCGTTTGTTTTTTTTAGCTATGCGGAAACTTGTAGCTTGTCTCTGCCTTGAAACAGCTCAGCCATAGCGGCAATTGCATTCGCACCACGAGTGGCCTGCATCACTGGTGTAGCACTAGGTACGTTCCAATCGGCGTCGTTAGTAAACTATGGCGGTTGATTTAAGAGGAGTAGGAAAAGAGGCAATCGAGAAATGGAGATGAAAAATCTCTTCTCGTAGTGCTTGGGTGACAGAATTGGTAGAAGAAACCTACGTATGAGCCGCCGCAGTGCAGATAACCGTTGCAACCAGCATCCTTACAGCAAGAGGTCACACAGTCTATCACCTTACATCTCAGCAAATGTCTCCTAGCGGCTCGTAGTTATAAGTGATGAATGTAGTAGTGGTTCACTTACTGACGTTGCAAGCACGTTTATTCTATATTGTTATGTCAGTTCCTAGACTAATCGTATCGTCAAAGCACCCCACCTTCGGTTCATTTTGCGCAGACATAAATAAGCATAAACAGACTTACAAGAGCGGCATCCGCGGGAGACTCGGGTTCTGTAGCCGGCTGAGGCAGGGCGGTGACGACGCCAGCGAGGACAGCTAGGACGGTGAAGAATCGCATCTTGATTTACGGGTTAGGTTTTGGCGTAGATTTGAAGTTTCCAGATCAAAAAGTAAACCCCAGGCCTCCCATGACGCCTTTCTTATAGCACTCTATCCGCCTCCCTCCTCTTCCATTACCAAACTATTACAACATTTGCTGACTTACACACCCTCAACCTCAACCCGCAGCACCACGCCCGCACCCCGATACAACCCACGAAAAAGAAAGCTATTATACACAAATGCGGAGTTCCGGCCTTGAACCCATTGGCGCGTCTATAGTTGCCTCTGTGCGTCGACAGTTGTGTGGTTACTTTGTCGCCTCTACTATGTCGGATGTGGTATAGCAGCCCCTCTAGCGGCCCAACAATCGTCCCGAGCTTATTTCCAGGGAGACGAGTGCACTTCAGCTCGCTGCAACCTGAACCAGGAACTGTTATTCAACGTGTTCCCCGCACCTTTGAGTCTTGTTCTTGAACATTGGATAAGGTCTGGCAACATGCTGAGACAGTGTCAATGCAGCGTGTGATTGGTGGAGGCGGGCCGGTGCGTGCATCTTTCGAGTTTAATATTGCAACATGGCGATACAACCCGATCTTCGGTTGATGTTTATTGTCGAGAAAGTCGATTGGCCCAGCATCGCCACAATCAGCACACCGAGCACGCCCCCAGCAAGGCCCCAGCACAGGGAAGCACACCCCCCAGCACAGGGCAGCACACCCGCGACACAGGCCAGCGTCCCTGCAGCACCGGCCCACTCACGAAAGAGGAATTTTTCGAAGTCGAGATTCGGGTGTGGTTTATAACTGTAACAGTGATCGGCTAACGTGGTTCAGGAACAGTGCCGAAGGCTAAACCACCAACGTCAGTGTCGCAATTGGCTTGGTTCGCTGGAAAGTACCATGGCGTGGCTACCGCCGCGGACCCCTCGGACTTGCCCGCTGTCATGACGGAGTGTGAATCCGTCTGAGCCGTACAAGAAGGTGCTCTCCCATGGCATGCTTGAGGAACCGCCACGTCGGTATCTATCTAGGTAGTTATGCGCATAACCCATCGACCGGGCTCGAGCTGTGGCGGCAACGGCTAACCGCTTCTACCTTGAGGTGTGAACTGGCAATGGCTATGGTAGCCTACTGAGATCGCTAGCTACCTGGCAGCTTTGGACCTGACAGGCTACTGGACTAGTTCCACGGGCTCCCGACTCCCGAGTAATTAATGGCTAAGTACCTACCTACGTTCGCCTGAATGCTGGCAGGTCGAGGGAGGCGAGAACTTGCTCTGCATCCCTGATGGTACGTAGTTACCTAATTAATGTGAGTATGGGGAATGCAACGCGAGGCACAGTCGTTTCGTTAAGAAAGTCCATTTCTGCAATGATCAAGGCTGTTGTTTGTCAAGACCCAGGTTGTCCTGGCAAATCTTTGATCTCGGTAGTTACAAATGACCCCCACAAATGTATAACTTGAAATGCGGCGATGTCTGTTCGCGATCGCGGTAGGCTGGATGAAAGAACTCCTTCCGTTACCTCCTCGCAAACGCCGGGGATTAAGAGCTCCCGGCGCACTGGCTGGCGGCTGGCTTGCGACCGAGGCTCTCTAACAAGCGTAACGCTTTCGGACCCGACTCCTCGTGCAACTCATCGTTCAGCCAGAATGCCGAAGGTGGCCTAAACCTGGTGTCGTCACGGTAGGTTTCCACCACCCATTCGGCCGCCACGCTCGGATCTTCAATCCACCGCTGAGGTATCCAGTGTTTCCATGTATAGTCGAGCTTATACCCGAACGGGAAGGGCCAGAGCCGTTCGATCATGGAGGGCGGTAAGGGCCACCGGTTCACCTCCCTCGTGCGCGGGTGATTGTCGTAGCTCGGGGTGAAGTCGTAGATGTACACGTTGTTGAAGTCGATGATGACGACGTTGCCGTCAGGCTTGACCATGACGTTGCGTGGCACGACATCCTCGTGTCGCACAGCGGCCTGCCACCAAATGAACAACTTCGCCTCGTGAATGTTCTTCAGTACGCGGAGACGGAAGTCTTCGGGCGGGAGCAGGGTGTAGTCCACTCTCAGCCCCAAGTCATCCTCGGCACGCCTGATCATGTCTAGCATACATTCACCCTGAATGAGTTCGATGAGAATCATGCGGACCCATCGCTCGCCGACGGGGAAGGTCCAGGACCCATGGTAAGCCGGCACAAACGTCCCGCCGATGACGGGTTGCATGATCCGGTAGGCCCAGGCCTCGATGCTGTAGTCCCTTTCGGCAAAGGACATACAGTCATTGTAGCCATAGGTGCTCGGCCCGGGGTCTCCCAAGTCATAGTCGACCCCGTCGTAGATCTTGGCGACGTACTCGGTGGAAGAGTCCTCGTCAAGAAAGCAGGTGACGACGTGGGCTCCATCTCCATCCCGGATGGTTTTCACGCCCGTCACGGTCAAGGTGCGCTCGACCGAGCCGGGGGGTGTCGTCTCAAGTGGTGGGTTCGCGAGTGCAAACTCGACACGGTCAACCTTCCATGGTTCCTGGTTTTTCCAGCGACTCCAATCGACGGGTGGGCGGGGGCTTTCCCCGTAGTCGCCGGTAAAGGGTTCGGGGGGTACGTGTTTGCGGATGCGAAGGGTTGTGTTAACGCCGTATCTAGTGCTCCCAGGAGCATCGTGAACCATACCCATCGCGAAGATATAGAACTTGGACTCACGCCCAGCGATTGAGGAGTTGGAGTTGGGTCAGCGGGGCGGGATCACTGGGTGGTTGATTTCCAAGTTCGCAGAGACGGGAACAGGATATCCTGGATCCACGATGCCACAAAAGAAGACGCGAGGGTACCAGTTCGAGTAACGATAGAGTACCGGCTGCTCAGAGCTTCACGCCGTGTCTGAGGTCGGGGGTGGCCACGCGTGGTCTCCTCAGCCCTGGGTGACGAGTTGGTTGGTCGTTGGTTTCAAAGCAGTTGGAACAACCAACCCGAAAGTATGGTGGAAAAGCTGCCAACCAGGCGATATGTGCGTCCAATCAGAAACTTGAACGCCCACCCCCGCCAAAACCCCACATTTCGTCCCATTGTGTGGCCCGGCCGCCCGGGGAGTTGGGTCTCCTGGTTTGGTTTCGCACCAACATTGCTAGAAATAGACTATAGCTCCGTGTTGGCCATGTTGGCCGTGTTGTCGTGCCGCCGGCTTGATACATCGGATGGCCAACGAGCAACGACACATACCGGCGAGGCTCAAATGACGACCCTTCCGTCGCCCTCACCCCTTGGGCCCTTTCCCTACTGGGGTAGTCTCAGGTCGGCAACGCCGCCCGTGCCTTGTCACAAGGGGGCGGGAGGCCCAAGTCACGGCTCGGACGTCAGCTCCGTCAAGACGGCGAAGCCCGGAAGGCCGACGCCGCCTCGTGACGGGATGAAGCTGGATATTGAAACCCCCCCCCAAATGGAAGTAGTCCCATGCCCGTCGACGAAGCTGCCCTGCATCACGCGCGTATGTTGCTGAGGTACCTGTCAGCGCCGCTAGGGACATGGACACTAGCTGGGTAGACACCTGCCTGTTGCTTTGACGCCCCGCCCAACCGCCGCCCGCCACTATCCACCGCCTGGTTGGGACATAAGCGTGTCTGATGTTTGGCCCGTATCCAAGGCCGACCATGTTTTGAGCAACGTTTCATTTTGAACGTACGACTTGATAGGAAGTTAGGGACACGAGCAGCATGTGCCTGCCCTAGAATCGACGGGACGGATAGGGGCAGTGCCTGGTATACGTGGTACTTGCAACTGAGGTACTTACCTGGGCATGGACGTGGCCCTTTGGACTACGACCGACGGCCACCTCGCCGCCACAAGTAGTTTCAGGATGAGCGAAGTGGGAAGACGGGTTCCCGGCCTCACCTTGTTGCTCCTAAGGAAAAATACCAAACAGACGTATAAGGAGGGATCCGGTACCGAGGTTTTGATTGCTTCTAACTCCCACTGTCTCCCATATATCACCTTAAGCTCGGTTCACCAACCGGCCACGCAAGTATCAACTCTGCAATATTTTCCAATCCTATCCAGTCGAGCCCACGTCCCCGCCCAATATGCCCCCCCGGAAGGACAAAAACCATCCCCCGCCTCCGGCAAATCCTCCCTCAACCCCGTTGCCAACGTCCAGGACAAACAAGCAGCCGTCTCCGCCCGGGGCACCTCAAAAGTCAACTTCGTCGCCGCAGAATATCGGCTCCCTTCCCATCCAAAGGGGGGGTACACCGACATCGTCCTCAAACCAACCCGCAGGGCCAACCACGCCCAGGGCAAACAAGCAGCCGTCGCCGCCCGGGGCACCTCAAAAGCCAACTTCGTCGCCGCAGCATGCCGTTTCTCTGCCCATCCGACAGCCAAATACACCTACATCATCCTCAAACCAACCCGCGAGGCCAATCACGCCCGTTTTGCAGGGGTCTCAGACCCAGAGCGGCACTCCACGCACCCCAAAGCCCACCGGAACACCCCCTAGGCCGGCCTCTGGGTCTGCAACGCCGAAGCCCGGGCCGACGCCGGCCCGGCGAACACCCCCCTCCACCACTGAGCAGTCACCGTCTCAACAGTCTCAACAACCTCCATCCAGGGCACTGTTCCCGTCACCGCACCTGCACCAGTCCACTGCGGTGACCGTCCTCCAAGGGTTGACAGCGGCACTTCCTCAGTTCAAGATGGCCAACGACTATGAGGCGAGCTTGGGCAATCATGAATCTAGTGCGATCGTCGAGGTCACCGGACCACCACGGTTTTGGACTGAGGTACCCGCTCACCACTACGAGTCGGTGGCCAACTTGTACCTCAAAGGACCTGGCGTCATGGACAAGTTGAAGCTGCACCACTGCCCTTCTCTGGATCCGACCTTCCGTGTTAGGAGGGAGGCCGATGTGGTGACCTACGCCGCTACCCACCTCACTCACACCGTCAACACGGCAATCGACAGCGTCTTCCCCAACGCTGTGGAATCGGTATCCGAGGTGGAGGTTAATAAGTCCCGCCCTGATTATATCTGGAGAGCAGCAGGATCCACGGGTGCGAGCGAGACATTTGCGATGCTAGAAATGAAAATCACGGGCAGAGTCGACCCAGGCGTCTTCCGCCGCGCCACTGAGACCCGCGCACATGCGGCCGATCGAGAAGGAGAATCGCAGGAGACATTTTTCGCCTACCTTAATGGCGAGGACTACAGGGCGATCAAACAAATCACGAGCTACGTACACAGCCACGACTTCAACACACGATACGCCGCCTTGTTTGACGGTGTCTACCTCTTTCTCGGCGTCTTCTCTGAGGGGACGAGCCGCACCCCGTTGCTCAAAGGAACGCTACTGCCTTGCCATGGAACTGAGGGGTGCCATGCCCGAAAGGCCCTCCTTGGTTGGTTGATCCAAGCCAAGATGGACAAAAAGAATGGCCGCAACAATTTTGTTCAGCGCGTGCCGCTGAAACTGCCACCCCGTGGCCACGCTCATCGCGAAGAGTGATGAGGCCCACCGCATCGCACCATGGACCCGTCGCCCGGGGTTACTTTTCCTTTTGTCGTTTTGTTGTTTTGTCCCCCTGTCTTTTCCTTTTTCTTTTTGTCTGTCCGTCTGTCTGTCTTTTCCTTTTTGTCGTTTTGTTGTTTTGCCCCCCTGTCTTTTCCTTTTTCCTTTTGTCTGTCCGTCTGTCTGTCTTTTCCCCTTTCTTTTTGTCTGCCTGTCTGTCTAGTTTTGTCTGTTTTCACCCCTGTCTTCGTTTCCGTTTTGCTCTTTGCTTTGCTCTTATCTAACAATTCGTCTTGTAACCGGTCCGTCTCGCTAATTAATACCTTTAGATAGCAGGCACCTAATTCAAGAACGTTTAAAGTTGATTTCCACATTTTGCATGTTTCCCGTTCTTCCCAGAGGCGTTTGTTGATACACGGAGCGCCGTATTATTCGCGCCGGCTGTGATGGTGGCTACTTGGAGGAGATTGAAGTCAATGTCCCACAAAGCCACGATGAGACAGCCCTGAATACACCCGTGGCGAGTGTGCCGAGCAGGGGCTCGTGGGAAGTGTGACTGCTGAAATGGGTGCAGAGGCCACAAGGCAAGGGAGCCCTGTAGCTGTTCTCTATATATAGATAGAGGGCATCCCCTCCTCTAGAGGACTGAACAATGCAAGTAATCTTACGTATACCCGTGTTTCTCAGCAGTGACAACATACGGGAAACAAGGTATTCATGGTTTCAAAATTTCTACATTGATGAATGACAAAGCAGTTTAGAAATGTCCATAATCTCTAAATACCTTACATACCATCCGTGGGCCAAGCCAAAAGAGGTGAAAGTCCAAGTGGTGACTACCAGTTGGTCTAGAAGGGAGCCCCTGATGTACGACTTCCGATTAAGGCTCGCTGCAAAGCGGATAAATTTGAACAAAGCAAGCCGGATCAAATGATATTAAGCCACAGGGGGCACCCAGTTAAGGAAAGAAAACCCCGTACTTGACTTAAATCTGTTGAAATCATTGAATAAGCCACCAGTACTAACCACAGAGAGTAGCATAAGATGGATGCCCTCCGCACACCCCAACGCGCACCACAGTCTGTGCCAGGACAACGTGGCAACCCCCAACATCGCCCAGAACTCCAGACCAGATTCGAATCCGCTCTCTTCGTCGTCTCAAACACCCAGTGACCCAGCGTTTGCCGCACCCACGCCAGGGATGACGTGCTCGCTCTCCGCACCTCCACAATGCTTCAGCCTCAAGTGCAGTGTTACTCTGCATGGGAGCAACCGGCAAGGCCGCGGTCTGGCCCCGTTCCATTGGCAGCATACCGACCCCTCACCAAGAAAAAAAACATAAGATGATGTCCAACCACCACATGAACAACCCCCCCTGGCCTCACGGCCGGCCCCGGGGTCCCGGCTGTCGCCATTGGCGTTGCCAATCATGTTGGCCCGTTGACATAAGCGAGGGCTCAGCGTGGGGGGACATGCCGGCTCGTTTACCCGCAGACCGGGGTAACTCGTTATTCCTGACGGACTGGGGCAGCACAGCATCACGGTGTGCGTGTTACGCCGAGTTGTGTGACCGCAGCTAGCATCAGAACAATGCGGAGAATGAAGGACAGATCAGGATTTTGAGATTGTGGGCAACACACCACACTACATTTTGAAGACTTGGAAACCTTGATGGCTGGGGGGACGGGGAGGAGCGCGGTTGGTGCGGGGAACTGGGCCGTTGCCTTGAGGGTCAAGGATCGCCAAGGGTCTCTCGACCGCATCTCAGCCCGGACTCGAGCTGGGTTCTCGCCAATCGAGACATGCAGGAGTGACAGGGCGAGGCCGGGAAAAGATTTGCATAGCGGAACAAGCTGACGGTTCGAGTGAATCGAGCTCGGCGTTCGACAAGTCCTAAAATGCGTGATTCGGCCGCAGAACTCGTCTCAGCTGGACCTCGCTCGAAAGGTGTGTAGAAGACTTTCGGTAGTGCACGTCGGCCGTTTCGGCGAATGCCGGTCATGAGAGGAAACGATTAAATGACGGAAACAAAAAATCCGGACAAGTTTAGTACCGGATGGGATGCATCCCATGCAGCATCATCTCACGGGACCTGCCGTGATAAGGTGCAGGATGGGGTTGCGGACTGAAACCCTGGTCAAACCCACTCCAATGACAAGAATGATTATGTCCGCCGTGAATTGACGGGCCTCGGTCCCATTGTCGAGGTTTTCGTACTGTTAAACCATCGACCCGGGAGAAGCTAGGTAGTCATGATGATGGTTTTGTGGACGTACGCGAGAACCACAGGCTACAGCCGAGCCTGCTAACCGTCGGCGTTACCGTGGAATTGGTTATCAGTTATCACCGGTGTCGGGCTTACGCGCGGCAGGAGGGTACGGCGGCCGATCTCTGCACCGGGCATGCACGCAACCTGCAGCGGCTCGGCTTGCCCTTTTCGTCGGCGGCAGCCAAACTCTGTCCATGGGGACCAGGGGCGGTTCGTAGCCTGGCTAATTAATGCCGACTCGGGGCCTACCCTCGCCGAAGGCATTGCCACCGGAATAGGCCTTGCACTTTTCTTTGTCGAAGACCTTTCGGTGGCCCAGTTGGACGGAACATTGTCAAACAGAAAAATAAAAGAAAGGACGAGGAGGATACGACTCGTATCTCAGTGTCACAAGCCCAATTTCAACAGAATGGCCGACAAAAACACAAAACAAAACAACAAATGGGACAATAGTATTGTTTCAGTCCGAGAAATTGACGAAACAACACCCCTTCTGGAATCACAAACGGGGCCCGGCTATGAAACCGCTCCGAAGTGTGCTGATGAGGAGGTATGGAAGCCGTCTGCAGGCTTCTGGTGGATCGAAACAGGTTCGTGAGAACTAAGACAGAGCGAAGTCGTACGAACCTAGTGCGGTGCTGACTCAAGCAACTCGGCAGCTCTTTGGGCGAATGTCTTTCTCTCGGGGTTCGACGGCACGATAACCGCTTCCACCTATGCTGCGATCAGCTCCGACTTCAACGCTGCCAACAACGCGGCCTGGCTGACGACATCATACTTGGTCACAAGCACAGCCTTCCAGCCGCTGTACGGCCGGTTTTCCGACATGTTTGGGCGGAGAATATGCTTCTTCGTATCGACGCTCGCCTTCATGATCGGTTGCTTCGGTTGTTCCATCTCGCAGAGTATGCTGGGGCTCGACATAATGAGGGCCGTAACGGGTTTCGGAGGCGGAGGACTGATCACAATGGGTAAGTGCATACCGGGTTCCGTTCGAGGCATTACCGTGCTAAAGATTGGTAGCGACGGTCATAAACTCGGACATGATCCCGTTGAAACAGAGGGGTATGTACCAGGCCATGCAGAATATTCTCGTCGGTTTCGGTGCGGTTCTCGGGGCGTCTCTCGGGGGTGTGATGGCCGAAAGCATTGGATGGCGGTGGTGTTTCCTGTTGCAAGTTCCGGTATCCATCGTAGCCCTGGTCGTGGGTTATATCGTCCTGGAGAATCCCCCTTGTGCCATCCCAGTAACGGATCCCAAACACCCGTTTCTGTTTGTAATGCGGCGCTTGGATCTGATTGGGGCCCTCGTCCTTGTCGTCGGTCTCGTGGCACAGCTCTTGGGGTTGAGCCTGGGCGGCAACGACTTTCCCTGGGGAAGTCCCTTTGTGATCGGCGCGTTGGGTGGGAGTGTCGCTCTGCTGGTGTTGTTCGTGAGAATCGAGGCGACGACCAAGGCGATACCCATGATCCCGCTGCGTATGCTGCGGGGTGGGCAGCCCACCGCCGTCCAGCTAACCAACGTGTTCTCCGGTATGGCCGCATATGCCGTGAGTGCTTTTCCCACCTCTTCAATCCCCGCGTCATGCTGATTTTGCGCAGTACATGTTCATGGTGCCTTTGTATTTCCAAGCCGTCCAGGGTGACTCTCCGTCCGAGGCGGGCCTGCGTCTGATTGTCCCAGCCCTCGCAACGCCGGTTGGCGGCGTTATTGCGGGCTCGTTGATGCACCGCGGTTATCCGTTGTCCTTAAACGTTCGTCTCGGTACGGCGACGATGCTGCTTGGGAACATGCTCGCGATGACGCTCGGGATGACGGGTAATCGGTGGAAGGAGTTTGTGTATCTGGTGCCTGCGAATCTGGGGCTCGGCCTGACAAACCCCAGTGTCCTGTTCAGTTTTGTTTCCATCTTTGAGCACAGAGGTAGGCAGTGCGCGTCGGATAGCTACAGTGGCAAATGACTAACCTCGAGCAGAGCAAGCTGTGGCTACGTCCACCGTCTACTTGATTCGATCCATGGGCACCATCTACGGTGTTACTGTGACGTCGGCAATTGTTCAGAATGTTTTGCTGGCGAGGTTGCCTGAGGCTCGGGGGGATTCGGCGACGGAGGAGGTCAGTGTTTACATCAACTGATGTCTCCTAGATTTGGACCGGTATCGCTGACTTTGCCATAGCTCATCGAGAAACTACGCCAGTCACTTTTCGCGCTAAGTGAGCTCTCCCCTAGTTTGGAGGCAGCGGTTCGTGCATTGTACTGTGATGCATTGAGAATGGCGTTTTCAGCATCGAGTGCTTTCGCTTTTCTCGCTTTCGTGTTCTCATTGGCGCATCGGACGGGGTCGCTGCAGAGAGAGGCAAGCGTGGATGGTGAAATTGATGGGAAAGACACTTGAAGTAAGGGAAAGGGTGTGGGGGGGATTTATCGTGCTGCTTGGGTCATTTAACTGACCGCACGGCGTAATAAGGGAGTTTCTGGGGGACGGAAGGAGAGGTGCGTCGCGACGAAGTCACTTCCAGGTTCCCCCTTCTTTCGTCAGCCCGCCCAAAATGGCGTGCGCGGCTGCTCCTTCCCAGAACACCGCCATCTCCGCTTCTCCATGCTGAGACAACCCCCATTCTTCCTGCCTTTTCTGGGGCAGTTTAGAATTACATCGAATACCCGGGCCTGACATACTTTACGGCCCCCTGCCCAAAAATACCAATTAAGTGTAGCAAAGATCTGAGACAAAGGCTACCGGAGTAACTAAGTAACTTAGGTACCCACCCACGTCATTACCTCGGTACAATTGCCTCAAATTCTTTCGTGTAAGCGCACAGAGGTAACATTTAAGGCGGTACCGCCCCTAAATCCCATACCCAAGAGCCCGAGAAAGTAGGGTTTGAGATACCAGGTAAGGTACCTAGGTTAGCTTCCCGCTGTTAGTGTTCCGAGTGAGTCTCAAGGGGGTGTTTACACGCTTTCGTCTGCTATACAAACCTCCTTCCGGTTGTTCAACCCCAGCCGGGCTCGATGGTAGCCTCGGTGGAATCTTGGGTGATTATAAACCCGGCATATCCAGTGAGGAGCGTTGTACGAAGTAGGTTTCCCCCTAACTCCGCTGTCGTGAAATTGCTACCCACACTGCAACCTCCTGCTTTTGTGTCAGCGTGTGGGGACGAAGTTAACAGTACCTAGGTAGGTACTAACCATTTAGTGAGTTCGGTAATGTAGTTAATTGTTAACTCCCATTCTATACACATCGAACTCAGAAATTCGACCACATACTATCCTAAATACATTCTTATAGTCATCCAACAGAGAATTAATACTTAAAGAGCGTAATAGTCTTCTACTTGGAACCCTATATAGAACTTAGAGGTGGAGTTAGAGATCTAGATCCCCGCCCTGCCTCCGGGGCCACTTAGAGGAGCCCGGTGTGGAAACAGTGGAAATACCTACTCCAGCACAAGAAGGGGACAGCTGAAAATTCTCTTCGCTTTCTTATACCCCTCTCCCTGCCCTCTCACCAACAACCAGCCCAGGCTATAGCGAGTGTCCACACTTGCTAGTCTTCCATAGTATAGTGGTCAGTATGCGAGCTTGTCACGCTCGAGACCCGGGTTCAATTCCCGGTGGGAGAGATCATGGTGATTCAGTATCTTTTTGGAGCTGCCAACGGCATAGGATGGTACTGTGATGCCCAGGGAGTGCACAATCTTCTACGAACGTAAGATGGTAGCAGCCTTTAAGACGGCCCTCCGGTAACCCCCCCAAACACAACAAAGGTAAGATCCGTCCCCGACGGGTTACGTTGGAGTTGAAACTCCTAGAAACGATAATACGAGTCTGACTGAAAGGAACCGACGGGACAGGCCTCCAGAAACGACCAGTGTGGGCGAACGATCGTCGCCCACTCGTGTTCGTGCTTCCGATCCCGCGCATCAAAAACACGATAGGGAGGGCCACCCTTGTCGACGCGACTTTCAGCTCGGCAGACGAAAAGGTTATGCAGATACAGTTTGTTCCGCCCCTGAGCAAAGTCGCCGAACGCAACCAGCTGAATGGACGCTATTCCGTGCGGTCCAAACGCCCAATCAAGCAGAGCACGGAACGAATCTTGCAATGCGTCTTCCAGCGTGTCGTATGGTAAGGACCGCAAGGTTGTTACACGGTTGTGTTCCTCGGGTTGGCAGTCCGGCTCGTCAATCTGCGGAAGGTCCAGGGCTCGGCACCTCTCACCCCTGTTGAGATCAGCGCCTGTTTGTCGAAGGTGAAAGATCTTGAGCGTGGACTTGGCGGTGAAAGGCCGAAGAAGTGGTGGCTGCGTGAAAAGGTGTTTTGGTTAGCTGAGCGCCTACCCGGACGGCTCGGAGCAACGGGAGGCAAGAATTAACACACTAACCAGTAAATCCGGATCACAGGACAAGCCGAGACACTCCAGATCCAAATCACTCATCGGGTTAAAGGTAGGATCCAACCTCGGAAGCCCCAAATTGGTGCAGTCGCAATAATAATCGACTCGCATCCCGGGGGTGAACCTCGAGTGAAAAACTAACCGTTTGAGGGTGACGCGGTGCTGCGGAAGAGCGATCCATAGATCAGGGTCTGGTTCTCGGAAGTCTTCACCCGAAAGGCTCACAAACAGGTCTGACAACCCCTGAAAGGAGCCAACAAACCGGGCAATATCAGCATACTCGCCACGGTCTTCGGTGCACTTGACTTCGAGGGTCCGAAGTTTGATAGGCTTCGTTCCAGTCGATTCCTGGACAGTGTCCAGGAACACTTCCCAACCGCAACAATACCACAGCGTAAGCGACTCCAGGGCTGCGAAATCGATTACGCGGCACAACGCCCTTGTCGCGTTTTCGAGATCTAGGGGGGCCGATCGAAGTTTAAGGACGCGAAGCGACGGGAAGGCGGGCTTTGATGATTGCCGGGTCTTCATCGACAGGATGTCATCCCGAAACCGCGTATCAAACGGCATGCCCCGCCAGAAGTCGAGGCAGTAGGCCTCCCCCTTCCATCTACCAGGGTGCGGGAATATCTTGGGGTATGCCTTGTACAGGTCCAGCTCCAACTCCTCTAGGTGATGACTGTTATTCCGGAGTGCCTCTCGTAGCTGGCATGCGTTGTGTGATGGGAGACCCTTCCAAGAGATTCGCTTGAGGTGCCGGAAAGGGGAGAAATCGACAACCTTGTTTTCGTCTCCGGGAGGGCCGGGACACATATAGTCAGTCGTCAAGCGGAGGGAGGCAAGATGACGATGCCGTTTAGCCAGGGTCTCGAGTAGCGCAGGGGGCACACAAGTGCACAAGTCCCAGCTATTGAAGAGGTATATCTAATTAGTTAGAGTATTACGTGCTTCGGGGTATGACGGTGCGTATATTACCTGAACTCTTGTAACTGTCCCTCATAGAGAGACTCAATAATTGATATCGTGTTTTCCACTACACAGTTATAATGATCCTGACGTTCCGCATGGATATCCGCCACGTGTTTTGCGTGGGCTTTTGTCAGGCGGATGAGATGTTGTCCACGCTGCCCCCCCTGAGGTGGAGGTCGAGGATGAGGGCATGGCGTCCCCAAGTAGTGGCGAGTGCCGAAGCCGCACAGCAACTCCAGCTGGGTGACTTGGCGAATGGCGGCTGAAGGTTGACGGAAGGCTATGGCGCATCGTGTCACCGCCTCGCTGTTCACCCTCGGTTGACTTTGGTCCGTACCACGACGCTGTACGTCAACACGGATTCTGTTCCATATGACGGTAGCAAGAGCCGCGCGAAGACCTTTAGAGACGGTGGACAGGGCAACCTGGTCATTGTGTGGAAGCTGCAATAACCCCAGTCAGCTACATCTCTACATGTATGGATAAGGTAATGGATGTGGTGGAGGGCGGACAAACCCCGGAGACGACCAAGTCAAATACTTCACGCGGTAACTTCCAAAACATGGCTGCGGTTGCCGGCGGGGGGAGGCATCCGGATGGAACTACTTCGAGGTCACTGCTGTGCTTTGTCGCTGCGCGTCTGGGTGTTTTGTGGAGAGGAGAATGGTGCAGCCAACAGGAGCAATACGGAAGACGATAGCCGCCACAGTAACATAACCAGCTTACCCAGCTTTTGCAGCATTTAGAATTACACCACTAATTCCAGGTACATCCCACACAACAGGTTGACATTTAGCGATTTACGACATAATTATCACATGATATGTATATATACCATATTGGGATACCGGCTATATCGCTATTGAGCTCAACCTCTAGCCCAATTTTTAACTTTCTGATAGTGCTTCGGTACCGAGGCGCACCCAACGCAGTGCCCGACAACCTATTGCACCCACCAAATGCAGTGCCCTGCAATTGCACTCGGCGCAGTGCCCTGCAATTGCACCCACCAAATGCAGTGCCCTATAATTGTACCTACCAAATGCAGTGCCCTCTAATTGCACTCGGTGCAGTGACTTGTAATTGCACTCGGTGCAGTGCCCTGCAATTGCACCCACTAAATGCAGTGCCCTACAATTGCACCCACTAAATGCAGTGCCCTACAATTGCACCCACTAAATGCAGTACCTTGCAATTGCATTCGGTGTAGTGCCTGGCAATTGCACCCAATGCAGTGCCCTGCGATTATACCTAACCTCGTTCCATATACATTAGGTCCTATTGTGGAGAGAGCTGGAAAACTGGTGGTTAGAAGGATTGATAAAATGGGGGTCGAGGTTCTAATTGGCTAAATTCGTTACAATTGTAACGCTGGGGGGTCTGTCTATTTTGCACTAGCTGCCCCCCCCTGCAATACCTCTGTGTCGTGTAAACGCCTGGACGTCTTGGCGTACGCGCGCGCGTGGCACACCGCCGCTAATTTTTGCAGGCACGCACCCAGGCGGTAAGAATCCGTAGACAGCACCATCAAACGCCTACAACAGGCCGTAATTGAAGCAATTTGCATTGCTGTGGCAATTGATCTTGATCTTTTTATTATTATATCTGTTTTTTTGAATGGAAATTGGCGCCCGCATGCACATACCCCTAAGATAGTCCGGTATCTCAGCCGCGATTAACACACTATTATCCAACTGATGCTTAACGCTGGCGAGCCGGCCGTTAATATCGCTAATATAGTTAGATGCTTACTACGCTATTATTAGAGGTTGAAACAATAATATAAGATATCTGGGGAGGTATTCTATTAAACGAACAGCTGCTTTAATATAGTTATATTGGTACTATAGGTATTAGAGGTTTATATCCGCCTCTGAATTCGCCCTAGGAGATACCTTTTAAAACTAATATAACTATATCTATAGAAGTTAATAGAATATTTTAAAACAAAGTTGGACTTATTTATTAATAAAATATAAATCTTTTTAGTTAAAGAGTTCTAAGTATTTATTAATAATATAATAATTAAAAAAAGATTTAAACAAGTAGGTTAAACTAATAAGAAACTTATATACCGCTTATCTTAACGTAGTAAACTACTTTATCTCAACTAGTTACAGAAGGTTATATAGTTTATAGCTGAGATATTTATATTTTATAATAAATCTAGGATGGATAGATGTAATGGGATATATTGTATTGGATAGGTATAAAAAGGTATTATACTATATATAAATATATTAATAGATTGTAGTAAATACTTCTATATCCTCCTAGTAATCTTTATAGATAGAGTATTCGATATTTTAATCTTTAAGGAATATACTAATTAAGATAGCTTTATTAAGTAGCTTCGACTAGATATATTACCGAAGATAAACCTATTCCCTAGCCTAAATAATATCTTAATAATAGATAATACTTCATAGCATTACAACATATATATCTACGAATTGGCAAAGGAGTATAGTATATTGATCTAGTATCTTCTACTATATTCCCCTAACTTCAATCCTATCGAGGTGTTTTTCTACGATATTAAGGTATATATCCAACGTAAATATAGATCCTACAGTAGTAACGATTCAATAGAGGTATAGTTTAAGAAGTTCCTCTATTAAATAGTTAATAAAGTAGGTAGTAGGGAGGGTATTGTGACGGCCCGGCGCAGTCACAACAAGGTTGGTTACGTAATGAGCCACTTATACACTGCCCCACCCTCGGCACCGGGGGATCCACCTTTGGCGCATCCACTCTCGACACATCCGCCAATCAGCACGCTTGGTTCTGAAGCATCCACTTTCATTCACTGAATACCAAGACAGGTCCCTTGTTGATTAGATACAGGGGCTCTGTATCTGGGAACTATCCAGGAACCTGTGAAAGCAACAGCAACAGCGACCGACCGGAACCGACCGTCCCCTCGTCTATAAAAGGCCGCTGTTTCTCCCCTGGAACCGCACTTAGTTTAGTTCTTTACTTTTAGTTGTATTTTCGTTATTGGGTACAACCTTCAGGCTCGTCCTAAGTTCATTTGTGCACGCCGTGACACTACAACTAAAAGTCACTTCACCGGCCGGCGACGGCGACAGAACATCCATCAAGATCTCGACAGAAGACCCGCGGGGCAACACAACAGAAGACCTATTCAGGCACACTCGACTATGGCAGTCCCATCAAAGGATCCAAAGGGGAAGCACCCTGAGGATAACGGCTCCGAGGAGCATCCAGACAGCAACCCCCTGGCAGTAGTCCGGGAGCGGGTTAAACCCCTCGAGGGAAACTATAACCGAACCGACGATGAGTCGGACACCATTGCTTTCTTCCGGCAGATTGGTTTAACTCTCAGCAGCAGGCATTCGATGGCCCACGTCGACGGGCATATAGGCAGCTACCCTCTCCCGGACCTCTATAACCGACTCGCACAGAAGGACCTTGAAGGCGAGGACATCGTTAAGGAATTTGCTAAGAGGACTGATAACCTCCTTAACCAGACCCCTCTCCAGCTCTGCGATTCAGACGGAGAACTCGACGAGATCAACCAGCACTGGGTCCGCTTGGACCTAGGCCGTACTCTCTTGCTAATCCATAGGCTCTTCGCACAGCGGGATGCAGCGATCTCTCTTTCCCAGACTCTCCACCGGGTATCGATCGATAACCAGCTCCTGTTCCGACAGACCTTACAGCGGGTTCGAGAGCTGGAGGCTAACCCCGACGCGGCAAAGGAACAGCAGATCCTGGACCTCATCGAGGCCCGCGACCACTTGAACTCCCTGCTGGCCGAGGCCCAGGAGGAGGCAATTGCGGCTAGCAGGGAGGCCCGAGGGCTCCGGTCGAAGCTAGCTCAACGCAGCGACCCGAATCACCCCCAGGCCAGCGTGGAAGACGACGACCACAACACTCAAGGCTCCCGGCACCGGAGCGCAAAGATCAAGGACCCGGACCCTCTGACGATGGACGACGACCTGACACTTAGGGTTTGGAGGGGCCAGATGAACCGGAAGCTCTCCGGAAACGCCGACTGGTTCCCTACCGAAGACCATCGATTCGCCTACGTCACTGGCTTGGTCAAGGGCACAGCACTCCAGCACCTCCAGACCTATATCGATGAGACGAACGAGGACCGTTTTACCACTGTTCAAGAAGTCTTTGAGTACCTGGAGGATACCTTCAAGGACACAATGGAGATCCAGAAGGCCGAACAGAGCCTGGAGCAACTGACGATGTCTGGCAGCGACAAGTACCAGGACTTTGCTTCGAAGTTCATCCTCTACGCGACTCAAGCCAAGGAGCCGAAGTCAAAATGGAAGAAGGAGTTTAACCGGCGGCTAACTTACAAGCTGCAGACCGCTCTCGCCCGGGATTACATCAACTCCGGGATCGACTTCGAGGCCTTCCGGCATCTCGGTGCGGAGATGGCCCTCCTACACGAGCAACAAGACTTCGCTCGCCCAAAGAAGAAGGAGAAGGTTTCTACTAGCGGCACAAGAGCAGGCTCTGGTGCTCCTGCTCGCGGTGGCACCCCGGCTCGACAAGGTTCAGGCACCCCAGCCCCTGCTGGAGGCAGAGGCGCCACTCCACGCCTCAGCCAGGAGGAGAAGAACCAGCTGATGGCCGAAAACAAATGCTTCTACTGTAAGGAAGTCGGCCACTCGTCCAGGGACTGCACGAAGCGAATGGCAGCAGAGATCCGGCGCCTCGGTACGGGAGCTCCCACCACAGCTCCGACACCCGCTGCAGCACCTACTCCGACTACTCCTCCGGCCCCAGAGGCGGAAAACTAGCTGCCCTGGGACAAGCCTCCCTACCAGGGCGATTTGATGTACGACTATCGACAATCAAGGTAGACCTCCAGAAACTGATAGGCGGGGACAGCCTCACCGTCCCCTGCACCCTAACTAGCAATGGAATTGGAGTTACCTTAACTGCGTTGGTTGATACAGGAGCAGACCTCTATACCGCGATCGATCCCTCAGTGTCCACCGAGATAATAAAGAAACTAAACCTCATCCGCGTCCCCCTCGGGCGGTCGATCCCCGTAACCGACTACCACGGACGCCCCGGCACCCCGATCACCTCAGCACTGGTCTCGAACCTCTGGGTTGACGGCCGAATGGAATACTCGGCGCCCATCCTCGAAACCCCTCTCGGACCAAGCCAGCAGATGATCCTGGGCCGAATTTGGCTGGCGATCCACGGCGTGCTTCCCGATGCAAGGCACCGACGACTCGTCTGGCCACCCGAAAGGTCACGTGACACCCACCACCGGGTAATCGAGATTCCCTACGAAAAACTGCGTGCGCAGCCTGTCGACCCGGCACACCAGCAGGATATGCAGCGGCGCGACGGCGCGATCGAGAAACAGGACCGCCGACAACAGGAACAGCGGACCCTGAGCCTCTTGAAAAGGAAAAAACCCGATCCGCCTACCCTGGACCTACCCCGCACCGAGCAGCTACCCTGCACCGAGCCCGCCGGCCCGTGCGACCCACTGCACCCTGGTCGGGGAGGACATAAGGGGGCGCAGAAAGCGACAAGCACGGACCACCATTACAAGCACGAACAAAAGATGGCAAAGGCGCTGCGGGAACCTTACAGCGCTGACCCCCCTAAGGAACGAACGGTTGCAGAAGGGCTCCAGTGGGAATGGAGCCAATACGAAGACACGA